TTTTAAATTTTACTTTACTTACGCAAGAAAGGTTTGAAATACACGTATATTAAATATGTTTTTACTCATCAAAATTATGTGTACTCATTTGCATATAGCTAGAAAGCTACGCGCCTGCACGATGAAAATAACAATAATAAACTAAGACATGAGATTGCAGCAAGATTTGTTCTTCAACTTCTTGCGTAATTGTCAGTAGCAAGGTCACAGTTCACCTCATCAAATGATCTGGTAGGCTTGTCCAATATTTGAGACACTAACGTCCTTTTTTACTAGCCAAAACAATAACCGGCGCTTGGACTCTTCTTACTGTTATAATTAAAATTGTTCCAGATTGTTCTATAATTTTCAAGTACAGTTTCCTGTTTATACATTAAAGATGAATATGTCCAGTACATTAACACACGAGTAGAAACGTAAAGCTAACCATGCTTGACAACTCGAGACACCCTGCACCCTGTTAGCAGGCAGCTAGCTACCTGCTGTGGGTCAAGGGTCGCCGCCGCCGGTACCAGTAGTGTCGCAAACGCTTTTTACCCTCTGTTAGAATATGGACTAGCCAAAATCAGTCACATTTGGACGAAATATTAAATTCTAGGGTTGAAAGCATATCTCAAAATCATTCTGTGTCTATCGCTACGCTAATTGGAGACGAGACATTTTGTTTCGTTTACTGGGTCGTAATATTTCCCTATAAACTTTCAAACAAAGTGTACACACAAGAAAATGGAAGAATTTTACACATCTCCGTTACTCGTCAAAGTATTTCAGCTTCACCTGATTGACATCGCACCTGTAACTAGGTCGTCGAAAGCAGCTGATTTTCTTTCGTGAATTTATGCAACCTTCTGACTTCGAATACGAAATGAGCAAGAATGGTTGGTGCAAATAGCTGACCATCCAAAACACCGAGTGCTGCTTAAACAACTGAATGATAGCCTCGTGTTACTCAGAGACGTTAGGTATTGTTACCTTACATAATTGTTTTATTCCGACCGATTTCCCCCCGATAATCTGACGTGAACGTAAATGATATTTTTTCGGACGTACCACGTTCTACTACTATATTGTATTGCATGAAATAGTCGTGCATACAGCATATAAATATAGCATTCGGGCATCCTGGACTGTCAGTGCTATTCAATGTACAGTTCATTAGTTAGCTGCCGATCGACAAGTTAATCCCCAACGCTCATCCGCGCGGGGGGGGCGGCCCCCCGCGACTTAGCTCAGGTGATTTCTCGGTGGGGCTTTAATCCCATTCGCCTGCGCGACGACTGTCGCCCGCGCGGGGTTTCAGTACCAAATCACCTGAAGTGTACTGTATATCTCTAAAATTAATCGATTAAGTAAGCGACATCAGAAGATATGTTATTTATATAACTATGATATACCTTTATACCAAACTTCAGGTAGATTTGTTGAAAAATGATTGAGTTATCGTGAATTTAATTTTACGATTTTACGAAGCTGTACGCCGTGTCACATATGTGTACCTAGGGTAGGGCTTTGCATAGGTGAACACAGTTAAAACGGATTATATTGTAGAACTCTCAGCCACACTCTTGAAACGAGCATGTTACCAGACCCTACGGACGTGGACGTGGTTCTTCTCAGGGTCCGTTATACGTTCGTGTGACTGATCGATTTAATGTTGATGTTTAAAAAAAATCCCTATAGTTTTAAATGAATACTACACCAAATTTTAATGGTTATTGTTGTAAAGGTAAAGCTGAAAAATAAAATCGTTTAAAACTTCTAATGAAAGGACTGGCACACAGGTGTAAATATCGGTATCAAATACATTTTGTCTGTATACGTAAGAATAACTGTTTCTCAAAAAACGTCAAATGTCAAAAAAAATCACATCTTGAATCCCGTCCTGCGGGCACACATAAGTGTTGTGAAAGCGTAAAAAAGTTCTTCTTTTAGCGTAATCGCCTGCTTAAACGGCCCTTTTCAGGGCCACCATCTTTCTCAAAAAGTCCTGAGAAACTCGAAAATTACGCATCCCCCTCCCACTATATTAGTTATAATAATAATATGATTAAACACCTTGTTAAATGTATTCTTAATCGGTTACAGTTAAAATCTAAATTGTTCAATAAATACAATTATGTTATTCTTGACACAGCTGATTAAAGGTGTATTAGTGTTTATATAGCAATATATTCTAACTGTGTTCACCTGTGCCAGAGACGTATAACACATACACGTCTCTGCCTATGCGAAGCCCTACCCTACGTACACAAATGTGGCACAGCGTATAGCTTAATATCTGTACATCGTATGAATTAAATTCACGATAACTCAATCATTTTTCAACAAATTAAACTAAAATTTGGTATATAGTTGTATCATAGTCATAAGAATAACATATCTCATGATGTCGCTTACTTTATCAATTATTTTAAGAGGTAAAGTCTGAAGACGCTTCTTCATCTGTACAGTTTTATTAACACACGTGTGCCAAGCCGACGATAGTAAAATAATAAATTCACGATAACTCGGTAATTTTTTCATATATATCTAAGTGAAATTTGGTATAAAGGTGTATCATAGTTATATGAATAACATATCTTCTGATGTCGCTTACTTAATCGATTAGTTTTAGGGATATGTTCTGAAGACGCTTCCTCATATGTTGAGTTCTATTCACACACGTATGCCACGCTGCCGATCGTAATAATAAATTAATCATAACTCGATCATTTTTTCAAATATCGAGCTGAAACTTGGAACATATATCAATAAAAGTCTAACTAATAACATATCCTCTGATGTCGCTTACTTTAGCGAGTAATTTTAACGATATTATCTGGCGACGCTTTCTTCACTTTACATGCGAATACACACATGTGCCACGCCGCAATCGTAAAAATTCAATTCATCATAACTCGGTCATTTTATCAAATATCAAATTGAAATTTGGTACAGAGGTGTATTATAGTCATATCTTCTGATGTCGCTTACTTTATTCAGTGTTTTAAAAGATTTTGTCTGGCGACGCTTGTTGTCACTTGAAGACTCTTGTTGTTGGTTGAAGACGCTTTTAAGGAGGACCGAATGCAACCCTAAACAGACACTATTTTTTTTGGACCTAATTGGTAATATTGTGCACAGGTGCTGGGCACACTAGCATGATGTATGCAGTGCTTAGTAACGCATACAGCACCCATTAGGCCATGGCCACTTCAGGGTCATGATATATATATATAGCTGTCAGATGAGACATTGACAAACAAATTATGTCACCAGATCAGTAACTTAGCTATGATTCATATAAGCAGGACTGTAATATGGTATACACCCCAGGCTTAAATTTTAATCGTGTTATACATGTAGATAGTATAACTATGAATGGAAGTAATTAATTTGTGTCTCTTGTCCTCTAAAATTATGTTGTATAAAAATTAATCTGGTTTGCTTACTTTGCTTATTAGGAAGTGATATAATTTGTTTCAGTGCTACAGTAACAATTACGTTTAATATTTTGAAAATATTATTCAGTTATAATTATGTCTTTATGCATGTGGATTTAACAGTTGACAGAAGCTGTGATAAAAGTAATGGGGGTTATATTCCAGTGAATCAAGACCTTATCAAAACATCACTGTTTGATATTGATAACATACTGATTAACATTCATATATTATATTACGATTTTAATTTAGCAATGAAATTGGTATATTAACTATTATTATGTATTATGTTTTAGGTAAAAGTCTGTGGTCTTACCTTCGTCATAGGCATTATTGTACTAAAACAGCACCAAAGATAACAACACATTACACACTTAATCCCAGAGACAAGGACCCAAGATGGGCAGGTAAGGTTTGACTGATTCTAACCAGTTAAGTATCATATTGAAAGCAAATTAGTGGAAATTCAATAATTCATAGTGTTAAGATAACTAAAAAGCAATAGTAACATTTCAAAACAATCTTAAGTTTAATTCTTTAATTTGACTTATGTACATGTAAATAAAGAAAAAAAATATTCATCTTACACGTAAAGTCTGTTAATTTCTGAAAGTAAAAACTTTGTAGAGACATTTTGAAAATGTATGAATTTACTATCATATATATGTATTTTGGTTAGCAGATGTTTTCTTAATTATGTTATAAGATTTGACCTCAAAACTCACTTCATTCAGTATTCAAAAACAAATATAATGTTAATTGTTCAAACTGAATTTCTCAGTGATCTTAATATTGAACCCAAAATAAAATAAGACTCTCTCATGCCCAGTGGTGTAGTATAGCAAAATTCCTCTCAAAAGCTTTCAAATTTGGTATAGTCTAAGTTTGTTAAAATTTAAGATCATTGAGGAATTTAGTTTAAACAAATTACATCATGATTATCATGTGACAGATCTACACACCAGAATAAGAGAAATATATTTATAATAATGTAATTAACTATATTAAATGTGTAAAAGTAGATGGGATTGTGTCTAGATTATGTGAAATACATTATATTATTGATTGGTAATCATAAAGAGGTGGACATGGAGCGTTATGGGGACGAGACAGATGTACTCATTGTGGGAGGAGGACCTGCTGGTCTGTCTGCCGCCTGTCGACTCAAACAGATGGCCAATGATCAGGGCAAGGAGCTGCGAGTCTGTCTCGTGGAGAAGGCAGCTGAAATAGGTATGTATACAAACGATTGACCAATAATTGACTTTAAAAAGGCAACTGAAATAGGTACGTTTACAAACAATTGACTTACAAGATTTCAAGATTTTTCATTCCCTCCAGACACACATTTCGTGTGCAACAAAAGGAGAGGATTGATACTGTACTTCAAAGGTTTCAGCATTGTCAATTTTCCATTTTATTATTACAATTTTGGCAGTGCTGACATGCCTTTGTATCATTTAATCAAGTGAACCCTTGTGGAGAGAAATGCTGTTATAAAGGCAGATAATCTTGTAAAATGGCAATCAATGAAATCAAGTTATATATTATACAGAAGTGTGATAGCTAGGATTTGAAAATGTAATATTAAAAAACAGAGCCTGCATGTTTTCATATATATCTCTATGTTACTATACATGTTTTTGATATACACTGTACTATATAATTTTTCTAGGTGGACACACATTATCCGGTGCGTGTATTGAACCTAGAGCACTGGCAGAACTTTTTCCTGACTGGAAGGAGCGAGGGGTAATTATGTAATGGACAACCATATCTTTTTCTATGTTGTATATTTGTTGAAAGAGATTCTTAAATATAGCAGATGTTGAGAACATTCCAGAATATTTAAAACTACAACATGAAATGTTGAGTACCGGGTAAACCAAATAATACAACTTTATTTAGACTTGGTATATACTCTTCTTTATATGGGGCTAAGTATTACAAATGTTTAAAATAATTCTCAATAATTGTTAGTCTATTAGTTTCACCCTGTAAAAAATACAGGACTATTTAAAAAAATATTAAATCATAGTTTACTGTATAAATGTTTTAAGACTATTGGATCAAGTATCAAACTTACATCTCCGATTACAACTTTTATATTTGGACAATTTAACTAGACGGCCATCAGCTTTAACACCTTATGTCTTCTCACATCTTTAGGCTCCTCTTCATACTGAAGTTAAGGAAGACAGATTTTCATTTCTAACCAAAACAGGAAGAATACCTATTCCCATTTTACCTTGTAAGTACAAAACCTTAGTAGTTGGTCTTTAATTGTGGAAGACTTCAGTATTCAGTGTTAAAAGTTATATGTATGTAACATGTATGTGTATTAAGCTTGTCTTTGATCTGAATCAGTTCAAAAAACTTTGTCATTGCTATATCCTCTTTATTCCTAAATGAAGTTTCATGAAACTTCATACAAGTGTTTAGTATGGCAATGCCTTGAACAAATTCTCCTTTCGGGTTTCTACGTTGTATTTCAAGGTCAGTGTTACTATTTTCAGAAAAAACACTTTGTGTCATCGCTCTTGCGACTTCATTTCCTCTTATATATGTCACTATGTGTGAATGTGAGGGGAATTGTATCACTTTTGATGCCTTGTTTATTTTTGAGGTTTGAAAATAATTTGTGACACATTATTATATTGCATTGCAGTTTTCCCAATGCACAACCATGGTAACTACATTGTACGACTAGGAAATGTAGTACGGTGGCTTGGAGAGCAGGCCGAGGCCCTAGGAGTGGAGCTGTACCCCGGGTATGCTGCCAGTGAGGTACTCAGATTTAATCTACTCTATGAAGGTGTGAAGTATTACTGGGTACCTACCAATACATCACTGTAGAAAGTTTTTAACTGTACAAAGCTTGGAATCCTGTAGCTGAACAAATCAATTTTTTGGAAAATTAGTTGGTGAAGTATAATTCTGAATATTAATGTTCTGGAGTCATTTTGGTCATACATCTGTATTAGATTTCTATGTTGACAAACATCAAGAGTAAAATCTGTCATGTATGTTTTCAAAGTTTAAAGTAAATCATGTAGTACCTTGATACATATATAGCTTTATATGTAACAGAGGTCATTTATATTTTCAATGCCTCCGCAAGGAGTCGAACCCGGGACCTCTGGCTTACTAGTCTTGCGCTCTACCAAATGAGCTAAAGAGAAATTCTCCCTAGCCGAGTCGATAGGAATTGAAGCGGCTAGTATTTTACCAGGGTGACATATACTTTGATATACTGGGGTATAATACCACCCTACTAGCTCTAGTATAAAGAATATCTCAATCAAATTGGTAGATCAGCCTGTCAAACTGTATATAATGTGTTTAACAAATCCCTGTGAAGCATGCGCATTGGGGAAAGTGAAGGCCCGTATTCATGAAACCTTTTTCATGCTCAAGCATGGAATTTGTGCTCAAGTCTTATTTCTTGTTCCAGTTATAAATTATTTAAAAAATCTTTTTTTGTTAAGGTTTTGGACAAAAATTGAAGGAACTTGAAGCTGAATACGGTTTTCAATATTTAAATTTGACTTTTTGATCGTTGACATGATTAAGGTGGGTTACAAGAAAGCTGGCTTGAGCACATACTCCATGTCTGAGCATGAGAACGGTTTCATGAATACGGGCCCTGCTATATATGTAATGTGACCCTCTTTATGAAGATGAGATATCTAATGTCAGGCCCTTTATATTAATTAACCCTGAGTGTTAGTACTGTGTGGTAGATTAAGATAGAGCTTTCTACATTTATTGAGGTACTTTTACAATGCTTAGGTAATCGTTTCTGGTGACAGGTTTGGTTACTCTGCTCTATTGAAACATCAATAAATGTGATTCAGACTACAACATGACATCTATATTTTGATAGAAACAAGCAAGAAAAACATCCTTCCGAAATATCTGTTTGGAATAGCAAAAGAAATCTCACAATGTTATCTTTCCATACTCTGTTTCCCTGCAAATGTGTACTCTACCAGGTTGAATTTCCATCCATTTAATCCAGATTAAAGAAGATATTTACAGTGGGTACTGTGACATTTTCTTTGTAAAATTTGAATGTAATGAAAAAATAAATATTGTACTGTTACAGATTTTATATCACGAAGATGGTAGTGTTAAAGGCATTGCAACAAATGACGTGGGAATATACAAGGACGGATCCCCGAAGGTCAGTTGCTGAATGTGTTGTTAATATAATAAGTATGTAGTTCTTAGGTAGCTCAGAGCAGAAAAATTATTTTGGAACATTGATTTGAAACTATGAAATAGTAGAGGTTGATAAATTCTTCTTAAGTGATTTTATATTTAAACAAGATCAAATTTGATGTTGGTTAACTACTGTTCATAGGAAACAATTTGTAAATGCTTACTATTTAGTTCTGAATAGCGTAGCTAGCTAAGGTATAAAATGTTGTGCTATCTTGTTCAAGGTTAACATTTAAAAAAAAATGTTACAAGGTATTAAATTGTCTGTATGTGTCTTATAGTATGTAATTGATTTTAAAACTAATTTGTCACTGCAGGATACATTTGAGAGAGGGATGGAACTTCATGCCAAGGTTACCATATTTGGGGAAGGTTGTCATGGCCATCTGGCCAAACAGTTGTACAAGACGTTTGACCTCAGGAAGGATTGCGAGCCCCAGACGTACGGTATAGGACTGAAGGAATTGTGGGAGATTGAGCCCTCAAAGCATGTCCCTGGACGTGTGGAACACACCGTTGGCTGGCCATTTGTAAGCTCCAAACTGTCATACATTCAAACTGCTATCAGGTCAAAGTTATGTATGGTCCTAATTCTGGGCAAGATTGCAAACAAACAAAATTTATATAACACATGGCAGAAGGTTTCTAATAATTGTCTGCAGTATAGTTTGAAATAATAGGATATATTTATATTTTTCAGATATGTAATATTTAACTCAATCAGAAGTTTCCGTACCATTGTCATGTACAGGCAATATCGAACCCATGAATCTGTATATAAGAAAGATTTTGATAGGTACAGAGTACACATTTTTCATAATTTTCCAATTTCTCACAAGATGTTGTGCTTATATATGTAATTAGTAGTCAACAATATAAACAACATGGCAGTGAATGCATTTCATACAAACACTCAAAAATTCAATGAATAGCATCATTTATTGCCGAATAGCTGCTAGTTATTCAGTCATAATCAGCTGTCAGCAACGATAACAACATTGCTTTAAGGTGATGAGTTAAAAAAATTAGAAGACTTTTTCTTGTCTTAAAAAACCAATGATCATTATTTGGATTTTGTTACATGTGCAGGGGTTAGCCCTAATAAGGACATTTAGTAAGGATTCCGGACCCAAGTTAACATTTATATATATATCAGAATTTTACAAGGGAACAACCAACATTCAGCATATGCCAGTGTTATAATTGAATGATTTCCCAATCGCCATAAGGTCATCATGACAAGGTCTTGAACTCTGACGAGGAATCTGTTTGTTATATAATTGCCCTGTGATACAGGGTATGGATTGTTTAATTGGCAGACAGCAAAGTTCCAGTTTACACAACATCTTTTTCCTTTTGGTAAGGCAGGGTGGTTGGTAAGGCAGGGTGGTTGGTTGGAAAGTTGGATGTGAAAAGGTAACGGATCACCTGCCTATTCTCTAGGTACCCCATTACCCCTTACACATTAAGAACCCATGCATACTATTCTAGGATAACAAGAGTTGACAAGAATTGTTTCAATTAATAAAGCATATTGTAGGATATCACTGTGTCTGTCTTTGACAGTGAGTTTAATTTATGTCAAATCTTTCTTTCTCTCAATCTGTGTCATTAAGTTGCTAAATGTTCAATATGTTTTGTGTTAATCTTCATTTAATGTTTTATCACAACTACATAATCTGTTCCTTAATACTCTCTGGTGTCTCTGCTCTCAAGGTCAATGTCATAGCAAGAGGTTAAGGTCAAATCAATGTAAAACTTGTCTTAGGTTGAGGTCCGAACAGCTCAGACTAGACACGATAGAAATACAGATTATAAGTTTGAAAATGAATACATAAAAAAGATGCTTTTTATGTAAAGAAAGTGTTGTTTTCCTATGTATGTGAATTATTATCTGTATCTCACTTTTTGCATTGCAGGACAAGAACACATATGGTGGAACATTCCTGTATCACCTAGATGAGGGTCCAATGGTTGTCTTAGGCATGGTGGTAGGTTGTTGATCTTCAAATACAAGTTACTTAAACTTTTTATCTCAGTAATGTTAACTTTTCAACAGATGTTGCCCAATGCTAGGGCTAGGTTATAACATCTGAATGCCAGCATTAAAACCCTTAAGATTTGTATAGGAGAATAGTTTGTGGATTTTAGAATTTAAAGATAAAGATTGAAAATGTTGCTCATTTATTCAAGTAGTAAACATATTCAAACAACAAATTTATATAATATGAATATTTCATTCACCAGGTTTAGATTTTGAGTTCCTCTGCTGTTCTAAGTTGCTGTTTTGAATCTCCATGATATGTGATCTGTTTTGTTTTTATATATATGTAGTAGGTTCGAATTAATTACAGACAGACCGGTTCATGTACCGGTACTTTTGAATGCCTGATAACTGGCAATTGTTAATGTAGGCATTGGAAGTCTTTGTTAAGGCTGGATAGAATGCAACATTAGACCACTAAATCCATCCCTATTTCTCAACAAACAACTTTTATTCAACTGGTCAAACTGTTGAGAACATGAGTGAACGGGGTCCTTGTTAACACCATATTGGAATGTGCCTACCTGTACATCAGAGTTGAACTGTTGGTGACTTTATTGTCAACAGGATATATGTTATATTGGAATGTGCCTACCTGTACATCGGAGTTGAACTGTTGGTGACTTTATTGTCAACAGGATATATGCTGTTATATTGGATTTTTTGTTTGCATTTGCAGGTTGGTCTTGACTACAAAAACCCCTACCTCAACCCATTCAGAGAGTTCCAGCGATTCAAACACCACCCTAGTGTGGAACCATTGTTCAAAGGAGGTAACCGTGTAGCATACGGTGCTCGGGCTCTCAATGAAGGAGGATTGCAGGTTTGTCCCTGTCTATAATAATGATAATAATAGACACTTTTTATTGAGCATCAATACATGTTAAGCCATATTCCTATCTTTTACATATTCCTTTTGTTAATAGTAAAAGATGTGTCATAATTAATTACAAATAACATTATAAACATGACACACACAATCACAAGAAAAAAACTATTTATGTTTAAAATCTATAAAAAAAGTATTATCACAGGTTTCTGTTAAAGACAATATCACATTACACTTATTATCACAGCACTTCCGAAGTAAAAACATCACTGAAAACCCAATGATCATACAATCTTAAACACTGTCAAATTTCATTATCAGAACATTGTGTATGACATTTTGCCAAATATAACTTAATGAATGTAAGAAAAGGCATTACATTCAATAAGTTAAATGCAATACACTTTCTGTATAAATTACTCAGATCAACACATATTTGTGGTTTTGCTTTTATCACATGACTTAACCCTATTGTAGCCTTGGTAATTAGGAATTGTATCTGATATGACTAAATGCACATTTTATGTTTTTCCTCTTTTTTTCGTTTTCCCTCGGCACACAGGTCGACGTAATGCCAGGATTTTTTTTATAAGAAACTTGTGTTTTATTAAAAAAAATGGCATTCTCTTGGTTTTTTTTTATGATAATGTATTTCCTTTATTTTTATTTAATACATTCTTTGTATAATTAATGGTGGTTTTTTTTTATAATTCTGAGATATATTTTTAGCGGTGTCAGTAGAGGGAATTCTCCTAAAAAGTAGTTCCGGCTACTGTGGTGATACAGGATCTTGTATCGCACATGTGTGATACAAGCAGACAGAAAACACACCTGACAAAATGATGTATTACTATCATAAGATTGCATAGGCATGTGATAAAATGTTTGTTTGATTTGTTTCTTAGTGATATGTTATTCATGAAGCATGGGGAAAAAATTCAGTTTGCATGTTTTGATAGAATAACATACCAAATTTGTTTGAACCGGTAAGATGTGCGTTTTATTCTGTTTCAGAGTATTCCAAAGCTGACTTTCCCTGGTGGTTGTGTAATAGGCTGTAGTCCAGGGTTTATGAATGTGCCCAAAATCAAGGGAACACACAATGCTATGAAGAGTGGCTTGGTAGCTGCTGAGTCTGTGTTTGATACACTGTTCAATGAAGATTTGATGTCAAATTCTCCCACAACAAGTGAGCTTAGTTCTGTATTGTGCATCTTTTATAAGATTAGATGGCAAAATTGTCTCAACCTTGGGATTGTTTTGCCTTGCTGTACATGTATTCCTCCAATTATAACAGTATTTATTTTTGGGAAAGAATATACCTACATTGTCCCGGTTTATGTAATTATGTGAGGCGACAACTGTGTAGTTTCCTGCTTAATCAGAGTTGTCTGGGTCTTCTGCTTTTTGTTAATGAAAGAGGCCAGAACTGATGTGCTCCTCAAATAGACACATAGATATTTTCTTTTCTCTCCCATCTGCTCTTTGTTTTTGGCAAGTCGCCCTAGGCACCAATCTTTAAATGAAAGCTGTTACAAGGACTTGAAACCTTGAACCAGAAAAGGCAAATAATATTTTTTATACTGCAGAGCATCTTCATCATCATCATGATGAATAGTTCGAATACTCTGTACATAAACTGCCAATTATTTTTCATGAATGCTGCACTTGATGCATTAAATATTAGCTTTAGGAATAGGATTACCTTTTTTGCATAATTATGCACCCCTTTCACTTCCCCATGAACTAATTAAGAAGGAGGTGTATTTCACTCACTTTGTTTATGTAGTTGTGTCTGTATTTCATGTTTTCAAGGCCATAACGTCTGATTGCCTCTGGATTTCATTATGGAATGAACATGTGCATTTTTCACACCTCATACAGAGATATCCCACGTCATACCCCATGCTAGATTTTTCTATCTCGTCCAATCTGTATTGTACCTTTATGTGACATTTCGCGGAATTTTAACACTGCAATGTAATCATCCGTGCGTTAACTGCTTGAAATTGACAATTTGCATTATAAATGTTCTGTTTTGTCGTTATATGTTTAGTTTTGATTTTGTTAGATATTTGATGTTGTAGATAAAATATAATCTACACTGTGAAATACGTTGTAATCTAAGTAAGGACGAACTACATTTTTACGCGGAAGCATTCTAATGTAGCTTTAGTAGTGAAGAGGTAATTATCATTTGAGGCCCCAGGCGGGATACTTGTAGTTTTTAGCAAAATTGAATTGTTCTTTTCGAACTAAAAGGTGCGAGAAAAAAAATCAATTACCTGTAACTGAGCGAGATCGGGTTATCTCAGTCTCGGGCTACGCCTCGGTTGGGATTTTGTTACAGAATCCTAACCCTCGACTGAGATAATCCGATCTCGCTCAGTTACTGGTAAAAGATTTTATTAGTCAGGACTAGTCAGCATATATCACGTCACACTCTTACTTCCCTTCTTTGAGGTCATGGTGAGGGGTCAAGGTCAAATTTTGTTGGATATTTGTAGGTCCTGAACCAAGCGTGTATGAAGAGAGGCTCCGGAAAAGCTGGGTTTGGGATGAAATGAAAGCTGTTAGAAATGTGCGGCCATCTTTCCATACATCTTTGGGTTTGTATGCAGGCTTAGCATACACAGGAATCTTCTACTGTTTCCTCAGGGGGAAAGAGCCATGGACCCTTAAACATGGAGGTATGTTATTGATTAATCAATATGTGTATTACTTCCTTAGAAAAGAGAAGTGGATTCTCAAAAATGTTTACCATATTCTTAATAGTATGTGAGATTCATATATAATTATTAGTAAATCAGAAAAACATTCAAAATCCTTGTGATGGTTAAATATAAACAAGCGGCCCAGAGGGCCTGTATCGCTCACCTGGATACCAAAGCAATCATGGCAAAATATTCTCCAAATGAGATCAAGGGAATATGCCAGACCCCAAGGCCAATCCTTGTAGCATATCTGTATTAGATTTTCCATGCCCAGCAAGTTTATGTACAGTTATGGGGTGGGGATCTCAACTGTTTCCAAGCTTTAACTCAAAAACTAGGTCCCTAGGGTTGTGGCCAGACCCCAGGATCAATTCTAACATTGTGACTGCATTTATCTCTTTTTGCACAGCATTTGTATATATAGTTTTGGGGTGGGGATCTCAACAGTTTTTAAAGTTATGGCCCAGGGACTATGTCTCAAAGGGTGGGGCCAGACCCTATAGCCATCCTGGAAGCAAATGTGCATTCTTCTCTTTATACTCAGCAATTGTATACCATGGTTATATGGTGGGGATCTCAACCTATTTCAAGTAATACACTTTTTTTGGCCCCACCCTTTAGCCCGGGGGGTCAGCCCCACCATTTGAACAATTTTGAATCCCTGCCTCCCATGAATGCTTCCGACCAAATATGATCAATATCCATGGCATAGTTCTACAAAAGAAGTTGTTTATAGCAATATAGCAAAATTTCCCCCTTTTTAGCCCTGCCCTCAGCCCCCTGGGGGTCAGCCCCACCATTTGTACAATTTTGAATCCCCACCACCTAGGGATGCTTCCAGTCAAATATGGTTGATATCCACTTCTTAGTTCCAGAGAAGAAGTCGCTGAAAGCAATATAGCCAAATTGACCCCTTTTTGCCCTGCCCCTCAGCCCCCTGGGGGGTCAGCCCCATCATTTGTACAATTTTGAATCACCACCATCTAGGAATGCTTCCAGTCAAATTTAGGTGAATTCCAATCAGTGGTTAAGAAGAAGAAATCGTTTAAAGAAATTGTTGATGTACGGACGTACGACGGACGCAACGGTATGGCATAAGCTCACCCTGGTCCTTCGGACCAGGTGAGCTAAAAACAAAAGACAAAGGTTTCTTTGACTTCCCTAGCGCTTTCTCCTCTTTAGAGGTTCATCAGTGCAACTCTGATTTGAACACCTACTGATGAACCTCTAAAGAGGAGAAAGCGCTCGAAAAAACTCTTGTCTTTTATTTTTAATAATATTTTTAATAATAATTAATAATATAAATTTATCCTTTTTTATAATAATTAGTACATATTTTAAGATTCAATGAAGTTCTACATGGATAAGATATGTGACAGGTGCTGACAATACCAAGCTGAAGCCTGCTGCTGAATGTACCCCTATAGAGTACCCTAAGCCAGATGGGGAGATCAGTTTTGACCTGTTGTCCTCGGTCGCACTGACCGGTACAAATCATGACCATGACCAGCCCGCCCATCTTACACTGATGGATGACTCTGTGCCAGTAAACCACAACCTCGCCATTTACGACGGTCCTGAACAAAGGTTCTGTCCCGCTGGTCAGTACAACACTAACAATTCTCTGCTAAGTGTAAATAATTAAAGTAAAAGATATCTTGCTTCCATATCTCACGAGAATGAAAAAAATGAATCTAAAACTAAAAACTAAAATAAAAGTTACTGCAATCTTTTAAATACCATTTCTATCTAGACCATTAGTATATCTTGTCAAGGCCCATATGATAATTAGATTATTATCAAATTAAAAAAATACAGACCAGTCTTTTGTTGATGTCTCATAACATCAGTTTTAAGTCCTTTCTAATGATCATCACACTTAATAAAGTCAATTTATACAGAGTCAATAATACCATTGTAGCTGATGTAACCTAATATATCAGAATACGGAATGAAGACAAGTTTTTTTTTATCTTTTTCAGGTGTATATGAATATGTTGAGACAGAAGACGGAAAAGGCAAGAGACTTCAGATCAATGCACAGAATTGTATACATTGTAAAACGTGTGATATCAAGGACCCGAGTCAGAACATTAACTGGGTGTGTCCCCAGGGGGGAGAGGGACCGGCGTACAATGGCATGTAGCATGTTGAAATATGCAGTGCAGAGTTCAGGGAAACGACCGCATTCAATGTTGAGTGTATATTAAACTTGTGAAATATTCAGGGTGGAAAAAAAATGACAAGACATTTAGTGAAAAGAAAATTGAATGAAATGTATGTGGTGAGAGAATGTATTAGAAGAAAGTAAGTAATTATTTTTGTGTATATAAGGTTCATGTTACAGTACATCTGTTTATTTATATGGTTGATAATGTAGATGCTGCTGTTTAATTGTAGGGCTATTCCAGTAAAAACATCCACCTAACCCTAAGACTCAAATAATTTGTTTATCCAAGGTTGAACTTCCTGCTTAATATGCGATCTTACTGTTATGCAAATTATTGATTTAAATAAATGGGTGTTACCCCTGAACAGAATCTGGAGTCCTGGTGTTAGATATATGTTAACTGGAATAGCCCTCACAGAATATAAGACATTTTTGTGTGGACTATCAATGCAATACCAAGGACTACTGTATACACCATTAGTTTCTTTTAGTGTCACATTTTTATTTCTTTAGGACACAAACCATACCTGTACCTGTATCTGGAAACAACATATATTTGCAGATTGTTGAATTTCTTGTTGCCAGATTTTTCAAGTTTCTTTGTACTCTGGATGCTTTATCAGAGAATTTCAATGTATTTTTGAATTGATGGACGCTTCTTCACGCAAAAAATGAAAATTTCACGCAACACTGCTGGGAATATACCTAAGTAACTCTGTATACAGTTGTAATTTCTGATAATTTATATGTGATTGTGAGAAACGATAAATCTGTATTAGCTGTTCCCCGAGTGATAGATGTGATGGTTGTGTATTCTGATATCACCAAGATTATTTGTAGACGTATATAGGCATGAAATAACACTATATATCTATCTCATAATGTCTGTGATAAAGATGCATACAAGTTTTTACAGATTCAGACATTACACATGATAATTTTGTGAGATTCAGATCTGACAGATATTTTACATAATTATATATATCAAATAGAACAGTTGTTCATTTTGTTTTAACAAAGCCTTACGTTTTGTTTGTTTGTGATAATGATTATTGAGCTTTGTTTTTTGAGGTAGCTACATGTAATTTGTAACTAGTATTTTGTATCTTGCCATTGTGCAATCACAGGCCTCTCTACAGCAGGATCTTGGGAAAATACAAACATGGTTCTGTATACTGAAGATGAAAAGACGAAACACAATTTATACGCTTAATAGCATATAATTATAACCTTTTAATACACCAGCAAGAAATACATATTATGGATATTATTCAAACTAAAGATCAAGAATCTGATAGTTGAGTTGCTTTTAAGCGCCCACTAATTGGGAAGTATCCATTCCATAGTATACATATTTTAATCTAGACATGTGTTTTCGTGAACAGGAAGCAACTTTTCAAAGGAAAAATGTCATACAATATAATTAATTAAATCATTCCAAGATTTTGACCGGTAAAGTTATTTTGGGCTTGGAGCCTTAGCAGCCATTTTTGAACAAAGAAGTTTGATCATACTTTTGTTGCCCAAACCATGACAACATTTTATCTAATAGAACTGAAAAATAATTTTATTAAGTCACAAGCTGAAAGCTTCTAAGGATGTATTGTGATCTTCATTAATAATTCACATTTTCCACCTCAAGAACCAAAGGTCCAACGCTTTTGATGCAAGCTGTCAGAAAGCTTCTAAGGACGTATTGTGATCTTCATTAATAATTAACATTTTCCACCTCAAGAACCAAAGGCCCAACGGTTTTGATACGAGCTGTCAGAAAGCTTCTAAGGACGTATTATGATCTTCAGTAACAATTAACATTTTCCACCTCAAGAACCAAAGGCCTAAGGGATTTGATATTTGGCCGGTAAATAAGCCAATTTCGAGAGATGTGAACAATGTTCAAATAAAAATAGCATGTGCTTAAAATAAATGTGGAATTTTTGAGAACATGTCAAATTCTTCATTTTTTTTTTATTTTCTTTTACTTACCGGTACCCAAACTAGAGCTGATCTGATCACCTGAATATCAAAAATAGTATTACAGGTCAAAAAGCAGCTTTGATATTTTTTTAACTGGACCAAAAGATTCTTCTTCTCTTAGATGAAACTTTTGTTTAGACAACATTGGTAATAGGAGAGTGTACCATCTTATTCAAAGGTCAAAGTAATTAACATATAGAAGATACCTGAACGTGTAGGGTTGGAAATCTGATGTTAAAGTTAGGTGTTATATCTCAATAAAATAAACTGTTGATTTATTATTGTAATGTTACATTTAGTTCCAATCTCAATAAAAGAGAAAATAACTGCTATGTTCCTAACATTCAAGGTATTAAGGACATGTATATATTCACAGAACTGTGTGGAGTATACGTTTATTTGTTCTGCTTGTGATTTGTCCAGATTTGGAATACCGCTTTAACCTGGTATATTGCCTAATCACGTGAATACTACATCACAACAATAGTAATATGTATACCAAAGTAAGACCGTTTTATGCTCCTCTCAGGCAGTTTAAGTGTGCATGGATACAAGGTCACGACCTCATTCCTCACTTGTTGAGTGGGTAAATAGTCATCAGTCTGCCAGCGTGTCTACCGATAGTGAAAAGTTTGTGTTCAAGAAATGTCATGACCCTTTAACAGATTAAGTTAACATAGAGAGTAAGCATCTGGTCCTAGTTTGATGGTCATTGGTCCAAGTTATAGAGGTAAAAGTCACACCTTTCAAGCTTGTGTACATGATATCTCCTGAAGCCTTTAAATAATCATATGTAAAAATCAATGATTGAGTTCTACATTTTGTTTGTCATAGAGGTCAGGGTGTCTAGTTAAGGTCACATACCGGTATTTGAAGGAAAGTCATAGATGCCATGAAGTCAACAGTTTTGGCATTAAGCATCTTTCTTCTATGAACACAAGAGTACTTTGTACTTTTCTAGCTTGATACAGATAGCTTACTGGTCCATTGACCTGAACTGCAAATAGTTTTATAGCATACACATAATCTAGTATAAATGTTCCATTCACATAATGAGAAGGTACTGGTAACATGTAGCAGAATTGTTTGTGAGCTGGAACAAACAATGTCTGCTGGGTGTGCTCAAGGGAACAGATATTATTTGTAACAGTAAATTACCTACATTGTACATTGCCTACGATTTACTGTAAAACTGGTTATTTTTTTCTCATAGTAACTTGATGGAAGAATTTGTATACAAAATATGATATATATTGCATCAGCAACTTTGATACAAAACTTAAGTTGCTATGGGATGTCGAATCACTGACTTATAATACAAGGAAAACACTCAAACAAAATATAAGAATCACTTTTACTGAATCAATGACAGAAAAATACATGTTCATCTTAAAATTTCCATACAAGATTGTATTTATTAACTGATTATTTACAACGAATCTGACTAAGTTATATAAAGACAAACTTGTGGAACCATCAATACAGCTTGATAAAAAGATGTAGACAATGCCCCAACAGACAAGGACAATTTTATTTACTGTAGTACTTTTTTTGTACAGTTTTACGGGTATCTATACTGCAATAAGTCCATGTCTGGTAACAAACTCACATATTTTTACATTGAAGTTCAGTAGAAATGCCAACAAATGCTATTTCATTGTTCTGTAGTAAACCACACCCGGCTTAAGTCAGAGATAATGTGTTAGCCTCCCTGGGCTTATTGCAGGATAAATATGGTAGTAACATAACTTGTTGCACACTCCTCTCCTAAACAACACACATCCTACACACGTCACAGACTCTGCTAAAAAAAGAATGCTTGTATGTAACTGTACTACACCAAATATTACCTTCATCACATCTCCGAACCTTAACCTAAAAGGCAGAACATTTATCACGGTATACACAATTACTAGGAATAGTAACCGTCTTCAGTCATACTGTACTTGCATTTTTGTTATTTAAAAAAAAAAAAACAATTACACTAGAGCTTTAAAAGTCTGGTGGTTTCTGAGATGGTTTCGGCTCCATCAACAAGGTGTATCTAAATCGTAATTGGCTTTGATCCAAGACCAAGGTATCATGTTGGTGCAAAATGCATATGTATACAAAAATAATCTCAATTGGATTGGCTTAAATAACAAACTACTGATTTGTTAGAGATGAAATTACTAGTGTTATCTTTTACATTAGAAAGATTGGGTTCAATCCCCCTAGGAAATTGATATCAGCCTTGGCCCCCTGCTCACAAGGGTAATCATTGAGGAAAATTTATAAGCATTTCATTATTTTTGGACTTATGATGCAGTTCATTTTGTTACGAGGGGCATTACAAATAACAAACATCCATTTAAGATTTGAGTTTACATAAAGTGTAGGCATCTACACCTTTACACAAGATGATGACAGTTCTTAGACAGTGTGTAACCCTTTGTATCACTCCTACATGTAATGTTGGCCCATCCAGGAGAACCAGAATTGAGTTGTCTCAGTTAATCAAATGCATGGTGGCTACTTGAATGCCTATTACTTACTCCTCTGAGCTTTCTTTGGAATTCTACAGACATTTTTGAAAAAAAGTGTCAGTAGTCCTCAGCAGAAGTGAAATAAAAATGATTAAGAAATAGGTTAAAATGAGCATGTCTCCAAATTTTGTTTCTGAGGACACAATTATCATAATCTAAACATAAAGATATTCAAGTCAAGACATCTAGCTGAAAATCATTATTCTACCTTGGCAAAGCATATATCATGTTCTGATACTTCATACACCTCTGTACACATCCTAAGAATTTTTCAAACAAGAACACTAGGTATAATGTTATCCATATCCTATACAGGTAACTTTCAACCATAAATAATGTGCTATTAAACAAAATATTTCCATAGCAAGAATGCTCATGTTCTTATTATTGTATGTTGGTATTATTTTCTAATACAATTAAAGGATGTCATTTCTACAAAATATGAAAGAAATTGATACAATCAAGATGACAATAAAACAACAATTGGTATCCTTTAATGTCTAAAAAACACCAGTAACTGTTTAATGAATCAATAAATTTTAACATAAATATCACTGAACATTTTATAAAACAAAAGAATCACACAAAATGATGATTTCTCTTTTGTGATACATAAATATAGAGAAGAGTAAAGACTTGACACATTTTCTGAAGAAGAGAGAGATGCAGGAAGCAACATGGACTGTACATTTTGTAAACACGAGTATGTACACAGAAGGGGCCAATGTAAGGGTACCACGATGATCATGCAAATAGAGATCTTAAGATCATGGAATGTACACCAAATTATGTACATACAATAAGTAACAAAATGTTTATCCATTATACATGTATATACATTGTCACATATTTACACAATCAGATGGTATGTGCCATTTCCGATGTATTCATAATTAGGTTTCTTAATAAGAAAAAAATGCAGATTACCCTAAGTTTGAAGCACCATTTGTGTTGTCTGCAAATTTATGTAAGAAAATCTAACAGAATTATCATTGCTTATTTAAAAAAAAAACCAAGATATTAATACACTTCCCACTGAATGGATTTTATTGAATCCATTTTTTGCTGTCACATGCTGCTATTCACACCAGTCAACAAAGCATTTCTAATATAAATACAAAACATTTTAACTAGAGAAATATAAAATTTTGGGGTGAAAATAAAGGTGATAGTTTTCTACAAATACTTTTATTATTTTCACACTAAATAAACCAATCAGCAGGGTTTAATGTAAACAATATACTTTAAGCATTGTCAATTGTAACAGTAGTCCTAACACTTGCTCATTGTGACATCACAATACAGCGTTCCTGGTCTTAACATTTTTGGCAGGAGATGGACCATCTGTTCCCGGAAGCCCTTGACTTTACAGGGAAATTTCTCCCTGAATAATTGTTATTTCACCCTTGGGTTGAATATATATATTGCATTCTTACTAGAAACTTGATATTCATCCAACTAAATATTAATACAGTATAGAACTTCAGTAGTAATTGATCAGATTCATGTCAAATTGACTACAGGTCTTGGAAATCTTCATCTTAACCCCCCACCCCACCCTGAAAGATAATCATGTTTTAATCTACTTCCTTTACAATCTAAACTACTAATCATGTAAAAATAGCCTCAGTACAATGTACCTCCAAAAACATTAAAACATCACTTTTGTTCGAGTAAGAAGTTTCACACAATCCAAAATAGCATTTAATGAAGGGATAAATAGTGAATTCCTACTGTAACTTGCATCACTTTATGATTGACACTATAATCAGCACATCAGTTATTGTATTTCACGCTTAAACTGGCTTCAGAAATTAAAACTTGAACATATGATACAAATAACAGAAGTACACGAGTTAAATTCTTCAAAAAAATACATTGTATTTCTGGTCCCAAACCTTTCAGATAGAGAAATTCTTATTTACTTAAAATATACACTTAATGAATATTTACTGCTTATTTACATGTCGAATTAGTACCAAAATTACCATCTAAGGATTAAAAAAAATCAGCATAACAGAAAGCATTGTACACAGTAAGTATTTATAATGTTTATTTTCTGATTCATTTTGATTTAAATTGTCTATAGAGTAATAAAATCTTAAGTATAATATGTGGCGTAGAACTATCTGATTCAAATTAAAATCGGAATTAAAAGATTTTAGACATTCAAATAATCAAATTAATTCCTGTTCCTTCCATCAATTAAAAAAACAATCAAAATTTGATTTTGCAACTCCTCTACAATTGGTGTTTAAATGCTTGCTTATAAATACTACAATTAATTCCCCCTCATACACTTCTGTCATATAAACACTTTTCGAAATTTGATTTTATATCAAATATGTTTTTCATTAACATTATGGACGTATCACAATGACTTTTGGAGACCACAGTAGAAAACATGACATGATAGGCACAGTTATAAGGAACGCATGATAGATTAGTCAACAATATATACAGTATGTACATATACACTACCGTCGTACACTGAGTTACTTCCCTTAGGCAACATACAGAATTGTTCAAAACTATTCTAAATTTTAATTTGTATTTTCCTTTAATCTGATGGTTCAATAACTTGATGAATACATTAATAATATTAGACCATGATTTATTCCCGACAATAAACCAGGCATGCTGTTGGTAAATAGATAAAATGATCTACCTATGCATGTGTAAAATGATCTACCTATACATGTGTAAAATGATCTGCCTATACATGTGCAACAGGAATAGAATATTGGAACGAACCCAAACTGGGATTTCAACGTGGGACCTGCAAACTCTAGGGAGACACTCTAACCAATTTAGCTATGTAGTCACTGGTAACACCAAGCCAAGCTACAAATCTCATTCCTTTCTCTTTGCCCTGGAGACAACACTATTTACAACTTGGTACCCTTTGTTAAGCACACACGTATGATATTTAAAGCAAGAATTGGTCAGGGACACCTCTGTAATAGGAGAGAGGAAATGCAGTCATCCACCGTCTCCGGTCCTGCTACACACATATAAAACGCAGCCATATATGTAAGAAATCTACCGGAACATATTTAATCCTTATCTAGCAAAAAGTATTACATTCCCTTGGAACTCAAGTGAAATACAACTTGTAAACAGGCTATAGGACACTTACCATACAAGATATGTACTAAATCAAGTAATATAAGTACTTAAAATAAAAACTAAACTGTAAATAGGTTTCCAGAATAATGGAACCCTGTCAATTGGTACACAAGATAATTGAACGACTCTAAACATGCAGCTTGATAGATAAATGATTCTCTTAGTCTCAGTAAAATACACTTTTTATTTGTCAATTCTATATTGGTGAAGCTATATTAACTACGGTGCCAATGTAAGTCATAATTAGCCAGAATATACCCTCAACATGTTTCCAGTGCATCTTAGAAAGCAACAGATGATTGACATAAAATAATCTGCTATCCTCACGATCTGCAGGGTCAGCAGTGGTTTAAGTATACAACTTAACACATCAAACAGCAGTAGACAAGGGAAAATACTTTTTGGTAGTAGCAATGTTCTTGTTGTCTCTTAATAATCATGCATCTAAAATATTTGACCGATTTCATCCTAACAACTAACACTGATTCGTTCTCAAATAAACTTGAATGCCTTTTAAATTTTCTACAAAGATTTTATGGTCTTCGATAAATGCTAAAATTACACACAAAAAAATGAAACAATTTATTTGAAAACAATGCCACAAGACTTAAACTTGGATCGTTTTCAAAATTTTCAGTCATAAGTTACAGACAGTAGCAACATTAAGATGGCTATACAAACAAATCTCTTAATTAAATGTAAATGACTAGTACCAGCCTTTTATAATGATAAGAGGAGAGGTGCCTGTATTTCACAGAGTGAGATATACTTGTTCATCTCTATGCACATAACTCTCACACATCTGTGTCAATCAAAGTTTGTTTGATACAAAATTTCCTATCAGGAACTCCTGAGAAGACACTTTCCTACTGAAACAATCAATCACTTTTATCCCTGACTGATCCAATCCAGATATGAGATCATTATGACTGAACTATCATCATTATTTTACAGTAAAATTTAATAGATTGAGATTAATTTCATAGAAACAATAAAATAGCTTATTGTGATGATTATTCCTTATTTTACTATTATTGAATAGTTATATTAAAATATAATATTTTTCTAAATTAACTGAAATTAAAACTGCTGGTTTTTATATTCCTGCTCTAAGTAAGATATGTTGCAGATTATTCATTTTAAATAAGCTAGCTAGGTTCACGTCAAAAAGAGTTCATGCATCTGCCTGTGCTACGTGTACATCGTATGTATAAAAAGGATATATACAGGTAGATATTGGTATATTACATGTATGTATACATATACATGAGGAGCAATCGATATACACTCCATATCCACAAAATTGTTTAAATCACCAATATATTATACATCAAAATATTTTCCTTACCATTAATTTTGTAACGATATATATATATCTCTGATTTACATTGTGTTTAATTTCAGTTATTTTTTCATGTATCTATGCATGTGTTCAGATACATTTCTGTACTAATACATTGATAGCATGACATCTTTTAACAAGAGGCCCAATGGGCCTGCATCACTCACCTGGTATTAATCTTACACTTTTAATCTTAAAAGTGGACTAAAATACAGCTACATACGACACCTGTGACCTTGAATGTCGAACAAGGACATTAGGTTGAAAGTGGGTCAAGGTCATGCATTTGAACAAACTTCGTAGCCTTTCATCCCAGCATGCTACAGGCCAAATATCAGTATCATGGGCCTTTTGGTTATTGAGAAGAAGTTGTTTAAACTAAAATATTGATGACGGACGGACGCCGCACCAAAGCATAAGCTCACTTGGCCCTTTGGGCCAGGTGAGCTAAAAATCACCAATCTGTTTGTACACAACATATTGACGAAGAAGGAACTTATAATTTACAAAGCTTACGGTACCATTTCATGGTCCCAGAAAATGACAGTGCTAAAGCTGGAAAACTAACGAGAACAAATCTAGGACATTAAACATTACAGAATAGTGAAATGAACACAACTCTGTGATCAATGGGAGAAATGTGGCTTGATGATGATAACAATGATGATGATGAAAACGATGATATTGGCACCGTGATGAAACTGTCTATGAAAAGAAAGCTCAGGGTTCATTTTGGATTACATTCCTCCCCGCAGTATTGCTATCGATACATTCACAGAGAAATAAACAAAGCAGTAATCTGATGGAAAATTGCTTTACATCAATGCTGTTGAAATGTTTCTGACTAGAGCTAAATGTGGAAACTTTTTTCTTTCCTGGATTGTAAAAACTATTGTGTGTTCATCCCATACCTTGTGATTTTGTTTACAAAGCAGATTTTTGTGTGTGATTGTTGAATTAATTGGATGAAGTTATAACATGTTGTTTCACAGTTATACATGCCCTTGTGATAATTGTTGGATTTGTCAAGTCCAAAAGTATAAACCTAAAATAAGTTACAAATGCTAGTCCCATATGCCCAGTTTACAAATCATTTAGCTTCTGTAACTAAAACAAAATGATTCACTGGATAAATTTCTCAAGATTGTAATGACAGTGAAACTTGAAAACAAAATTTTAAGATAAATTTACTATTAAACATGCACAGTGAGGTCTGATTACTTTGTATAAAATGGAACTAAAAAGGACTATGCTGGATCAGCCCTTGAAACAACAGTCTTGAAGGTGTTCAAAACCTATACCTTGATCATAACATTAACAATTTGTTTTTAATCCATTCTTGATAAGGTTTTCACGATTTTTCTCTTCCATCAAACAATTTTTTTAAATATTCATATATATTGTATCTGGTTTTAGCAGTGAATTTCAACATTTGAAACTATCAATACATAATTTTGGCGGAGGAGGAATTTAATCAGTCTGACACTAGACTTCAGAGATATGGACGTAATACATTGAACCCCATGATGTAGAGAAGTTCCTCTCACACCATGTATGACATGACATCTGTAGCATCAGTCCGTTTTCTTGTCAGTCTCTTTCTTTTCCTCAGATGATGGCTCATCTTCTGTGTCAGTGTAGTCTCTAGGCTCTTCACCTGGTCGCAGTAATCTACCAATGAAGTCATATTTTTCTGGAAAAAAAAGAGTTCAACAACATGTCTCAATTTCAGCACTCTATATGATGATGGAACAAAACAATTTTAGGTAACGAAAGTTTAGCAATCTTAGAAATGATTTCCTCTACATTGTGTTTTGTTTGAATCTGCACTAGCACCTTGCTGTTTTACAATTCATCAAATGCTATGAATGATAAACGTGGTCTACCATATTTCATAATGTTTAAAAAAAGAGAGATGATGTACATGTTGGGGCATAAATTAAATTTTCTTATTTTTTCGTTGTCCTAGATATTTACCTGTACTTTAGTATCATTAACTTACTGTGATCTACAAAGTTAACAGCTGATATACCCTGTTTGAAGATAATTACTAAGTTAGTGCCCGATGCCTGGAAATGGTTAGCGAGCCCATCCTTCTCTACTAGTACTATAGTTAAGTAGAAATGTAAACAAATTCTAATTAATTGTTCTGTGATAGCTAGATAGACTCCTCCCCAACACTGACTGAGACATATATGTATCAGCCCCCTGTGCTTAGTGAAGGAAAAATACAGTATACAAAATGAAAACAGGTTCACAAATTAATTGTGGAGAAAAATATGGTTATGAATTTTCCACATGCATGACAGCACATTAACCGAGTTGTGTATAACAAAATTTTAACCAAACAAGAAATATTGCATGAAAATATAGAACGTGAAGATAACAACACAAAATAGAAAGCCTTGCTCACTGGTTACTTTATCCCAGCTTTTACATCAAAATAAGTCAAGTCAATGCAAGGGACTCCATTTTGTTTACATACTTGCTTTTGTTACATGCTTGTTAGAGAATTTGAATGTGACTTAAGTAGTCACTTGAGACAGCATTCTTTAAAAAGGCTAGCATTACTGCTGTTTCTGTAGTGATTGTGTATTGAAGTGTATACATTTTTTGTACATACAGACAAGTTATGCATGCTATTACTAGAATTTACTATCCCTGCTGAATGACAGCAGGGATTTAATTATTATAGAATACATGTATTTACATATCTTATTTTCTACAACACCCATAGTGAATACATGTGTTCTATTTATCATGACACCAGCTGTCAGACAGGCAGTTTATTTACTACTGATCAACCAGAACATTACTTAGTACAAAACAATTTTCTGTTTTCTCTGAAAATGTATGTACAAGCAAGTTTTGTGCAGTAGTGCTTCAAAAATGCAATTTTTGTAGACCTGTGCAAGTGTATACATTTATAAACATTAAATCATGCATATTGTATAATTGATACAAATGCACCGTTTCATTATAAGAATTCTACATACCATATATATAATGTATATCATTGATTTCATTAAAAGAATTTTGCTTCAAATAAATGAAAACATGTCATTAATATTAAATGTTAAAGCACAAAAAGCCCTAATAACTGATTTCTGGCACTGTGTAGACCTGTTTACTGGTATTGTGTTAAAATTCCACTTTGGATATCCCTGTGACATGGTAGCTAGCCTTTTTCAGGTTACCCTGGTATACCACGGGTAACTTAAGATATAGACAACACTTGCTTTAATGTATGTAACTACGGAAGTCTTTTTCAACTTGTCACAGCATGAACATGCATTTTTATTTTAACTCCTACATCGTATACACCTGTTTCTGTAGTGATTGTGTATTGAAGTGTATACATACAGACAAGTTATGCGTGCTATTACTAGAATTTACTATCCCTGCTGAATGACAGCAGGGATTTAATTATTATAGAATACATGTATTTACATATCTTATTTTCTACAACACCCATAGTGAATACATGTGTTCTATTTATCATGACACCAGCTGTCAGACAGGCAGTTTATTTACCACTGATCATCCAGAATATTACTTAGTTCAAAACAATTTTCTGTTTTCTCTGAAAATTTTTGTACAAGCAAGTTTTGTACAGTAGTGCTTCAAATATTTGATGTGCAAGTGTATACATTTATAAACATTAAATCATGCATATTGTATAATTGATACAAATGCACCGTTTCATTATAAGAATTCTACATACCATATATATAATGTATATCATTGATTTCATTAAAAGAATTTTGCTTCAAATAAATGAAAACATGTCATTAATATTAAATGTTAAAGCACAAAAAGCCCTAATAACTGATTTCTGGCACTGTGTGGACCTGTTTACTGGTATTGTATTAAAATTTCACTTTGGATATTCCTGTGGCATTGCTTTGATGGGCTATCCCAGCAGGTAACGGCTACCGGTAAATATGAATATGGATCCCGAAACTGATATCAAGTTTCCAAACTGCCTATATACTGTCTATATCAGCTGTTTTATTTGTGTATGCCTTTTAACTGAATAAATTAGTATTGTTAACACAAAAAGTAATGATGTTGTATACATATGTATACCCCAATGTTTGGCACAGTATTTCTAATTCTAACTTAAGAAAATAACAAGTGAATACCTGTAAATTGCATTTCCCATTCCCGTACACTCTCCATTTGCATTGTAGTTAGGTCTGATAAATCATCAAATTCATCTTTGATCGCTTCTTCTGTCAGTGAAAATAAGGCCAGTCCTCTTGACGCATCTCGTCCTGCGAACACTGCGTATGGTCCTCCTATATTAAAACACACCAAACAAATTTTATGTACAAATATATCAGTACAGTGTCTGTATAAGACTATCAAGTCTGTGGTACAACTGAATTTTGGACACCATGCACTGATGCTGATACATACATATTTATATACATGTACATGCACAGTACATGAGACAAATAAATTGTGTAGGTGTGAGTCCCACAGAAAAATACTGAACCCAGGACTCAAGTACGTGTGTTACAAATTAGCACTTGTGTTATGTTATTAATTATTGAATATCACCATATTTTTTTTCGAGTGGTGGACTAGAGATTTTATGAACGTGCAGGCAATAATATAAGAAAATTGTGTTTTTAAGGTTAGTTATGAGGTGGCATCTCGATTTTTATCTACATAATGGTATTCGCAATGAGAAAATTGGTTTGAAAAACTGTTTATCATCTATATATCAATACCTCAGGATGAATATATTTCTCCATTCATAAAAAGTTAACTAATTAACATTTCTTCTAACTGACTTAAGCTTACACATAAAAATGGAGTTGTTATCCTCACAATATTTGTTCATAACTTTCTAACGATATTTTCTTATGCTGAACACCTTTGTGTGTACACTAATTCTGGTTCAGGACATATATATGTACATCATCTGGCACGAGCAGACGTCCTTTTTTTGAGAAAATACATTCTCTTACCAAGGACAGGCGTATCCACTCTGAGTGAGGTATCCTTGTCTCACCCTAGGGTTGATATGGGGGCGGGGATTCCCCTTTTTCAGTATTCATACCAATTTATGAGGTCACATCATCAATGCATTCAGACTATAATGTCAACATTACATTATATACATGTATACTTGTATACTTATATGTCAGTGATTTTTTTACCCCATTTTTAGTGCCGACTTTTATTAGGTACTTTCCGGAAGTGAAGTTTTCCCAGTTCTGACCCAATATTTTCCCAATCGCTTGTGAAAAAATAAAGTATGCCTTCTCATAAACTGTTGTACAACGTTGTTAATTTTTTTGACAAATAAAAGTTTATCTTGGGGCATTGAATTCAAGCTTCAAGTTTTGTTTAGAAATGAGGTTTGGCAACTAAATAATCTTGCCCCTTTGGTTGAGATTCCCCTATCTCATCTCCAGGGAGGTGAACGATTTGTATTATTCCTAAACAGGAAAATCCATTCTAAAGCGTACAACATTCCTTTTTAGCTGAATTAAGTCAAATATATGAGTCCCAAAAATGATCGATACATGTATGTAGTTGTATTCAGTGTAGACTTGGTTGATTTACAAATGTTGAAAGCCATACAAAATAAAATGGGCATATTTTTACTTGACTTGCAGTCTAAATACAATGTAGCCCAAGGTTGTACATTGAACTTGAACTTAAAGTCAAATAATTAAAACATCAAACTGTACTGGATTATTCATTATTCACAGGTCTTATATTTTTTATTCATTGGATTATTGGCTTATGTTTCAAAGATAGATATATGGTTTTTGAGTCACTATGTTCCCAATTTTAGTAATTAAATGTTAAATGTAAATAGTACTTGGTTATCCGTCATAGGGGTGCATGTTACATGGCAGTAGGTCTAGTGAACAGTGAAAACCCAATTTCAGAATGTTCATTACTTGAAACTGTTAGTCAGTGAGGTTTTACATCTGTTTATACAGCTGATTCCCAGTTGAACTCTCTAAAGATAATTTAACAGTAACTGTGACAGGAGGACATTGATCATGAGGTCAAGTACCGCACGTGAACAGGCATAAATTTGTTTGGTGACGTAATTCATAATTCTGTGCAAATATAGTAACCTCACCTGGTCCATAAAACCGCTTTCCTCTTGTCACATCAAATACTTTTGTGTTGACAGAAACCAAAACCCTGCCATCCTGACCTTTCCCGTCATATTCACGCAACTGTTCCAGTGTAAAGTCCCTTTTCTTCATCCGCGGCAATTCGGGTTCTTGAGGTGGTGGTGGAGCAGATTTCCGGTTACTCGACACAATTTTATACAATAAAAACGCACAAATTCCAAGTAGTGCAATATTCAATGGACTTCCAACAAGTTCTGAAACAAATCGAGACATAATACCACCCGTTCCCGCTTCCGAGTTCGCAGCTTCCTCCGCCATTTTCAGCGATTTTTGTTTATTATTGAAGGTCAAGGTTGACTTCAAGTCGGCTAAACTCAGGCCCGGATAAGATGGATTTCCGGATTTCAAATAATTTAGTGGTTTTTTGCAGTTTTCGTATTTTACTTATTTTCTTTTGTGTGTATTTTATATATTTCTAAAACACACGTCAAAATCCTTTAAAACTTTACAATAACAGTATATAAAAACAACGATGTTCTAGTTCTATTCATGTGACGTTAAAGGGAAGTGACTCGTGCAAATGTCCAAATAATTTCAACCCGGAAAAAAAATCAAAGTACTGAAAAGGTTGAAGGGTTGGATAGGAAGAAAGTACATTTCTGCAGGCAATGTCCACAATCATTCCAGGAATGCTTTATCTGAATCATGTTTTGTCATCAAGATCTAGTACTGTATCATAATTTAGTATAAATTGTTAATTTTGATTTTAAAATTGATTTTCAAAGTATTCAGTATCAAATTCCTGATTATTGTTCAGCAATTAAGATTTCATGCAAATAATTACAAGAACAGAATAATAAGCCCAAAGGACATGCATCACTCACCTGGTAGAAAAATCTCACTCTTATCATCAAGTGACATGTGACATTAAAAATCAAACAAGGCCATTAAAATATAAGCTGAACACAAATGACAACCTTTCACCATAGCATGCTTTATGTCCAAAAATACCCTCCTGGGAAAAATTGACCTGCATGACCTTGCAAGTCGAGGTCAATTATTTAAACAAACCATGTATCCCATCATCCCAGCATATTATTACTTTTTTTTATTTTTTATTATTTTTATTATGAACAACCATATCGAAACTGATAGCAAGCCAAAATAAAACCTAATAAACGAATTATTTCCTGCAGAGAAACTTCCCTCTGTAATTTGAAAAGGAAGGGGATACTAGCCAGCCGACTTTAACATTACCACCAGCTAGCCTTATCACTAAGCTAGCAGACGATTCTAAAAGCGCATTAAAACAGAATAAGTAAGAAAATATCTTCTTCGCGCATGTTGTTTGTGAAAGATACTTGTAAATTCTAGGTTATGAAGCATTCGATCCCCTAATAAAGTTCAGTCGAGTTTAACTTTGTATTGTAATGCAAGCAACACTGAACTATTCTCGGAGCGTATAACACGGTTTTTTGAAGTTGTGCTAAAAAAATAAAAAAAATTGAGACACGAGAACGATCCCAAAGGGATTGAAGAGGCCCCAAAAGGGCCTATCCAACCAAATCAAACAAATGTATATAAATACCATATTGTTATACGCATTGTTCTTCTTCCGTTTTCCGCTATAGTGTATACATATTTGTTATATATATATTTTTTTTTTTTATAAAAATCGACAGAATTCTATGGAAGCCCGAATGGGCCAGGGTAAAAACATATTTTATCTGGCGGCTGCTACTTAAATCCCAACTACGGGTGAAAATGAAAATAACGAATTTTTAATTTTTAAGAGTGTATTTTTACCAAAGACGAAATGCTTTGTTAGCATGTGGACTAATTATCGATCGATAAGCTGTGTTTTGTGTCTGTCTTTCTGTTGCTATTGTTAACGGCAACATTTATGTTGGGATGTATAGAACAAGTACTATAAGTCCATATCTAATGGCAAACGTTTCTGGATGGAAAAGTAATACACTGTAGGAAATACCATTTATATCTAAAGATGAACTTTACCAAGAGGAATTTAGTTTATGTCTAGATACATTTATTTTAGCAAATGAACGTTAAATGGAAGTAATGTCTGTAGAAAACAAGAACATTCGTGGAATTTATATCCCCCGCTTGCAGGACATATTGTAGGTTAACATTATTGAGGTTAAGTTTAAACATGCGAGAATCGTGCTGTTGAGACATAACGTATAGCTTGAAACTTGAAAAAAAAGCCCTATACCTCATTGTTTATCCGTAAATATGTACAAATCACATTGGTTGGCAAACTTAGCATGAGTTGGATGTGCATAAGGAATTTGGTTGAAACATCTTAACAATATCTACAACAACAAGTACTAATTCTAATGGGAGACCATTACAGATGTCCCCCCAAACTGCCACCATAGTCGCAAAGATGCATCAGAAAAGGATCGCATTGCCATAGTACATCTACATTGTACATTCTAAATTTGAGTGAAATTGAGCAATTTCTAAATTGCAACCAATCAGAATCCTCTGTGTAGTTGCTATGGCAACGGAACGTATGCAGTCCCCAAATACCCCTATATACCAGTTTTCATCGAAATCAAACAATATCTAAATTGCGACCGATCAGAAGCCTCCGTGTGGTTGCTATAGTAACGAAACTTATGCGGTTGAATTTGCAGTCCCTTATACCCCTCTATAACGATTTTCATCAAAATATAACAATATCTGAATTTCCACCAATCAGAAGCCTTCCTGTGGTTGTTATATGGTTGATATGGCAACGAAACCTATGCGGTTGAATTAGCGGTCCCCTAATATCCCTATATACAAATTTTCATCAAAATCGAACAATATCTAAATTTCGACCAATCAGAAGCGTCCGTGTGGTTGCTATGGTAACAAAACTAATGCGGTTTTATTCGCAGTCCCCTAATATCCCTATATACAAATTTTCATCAAAATCTAACAATATCTTAATTTCGACCAATCAGAAGCCTCCGTGTGGTAGCTATGGCAACGAAACCGATGCGGTTGAATTCGCAGTCCTCTAATATCCCTACATACCAATTTTCATCAAAATCGAACCAAGTTTGAAGAAAATCGGTTGCACAGAAACAAAACCCAGCAGATAATTACGTTTTTCGGTCATCGAACTTGGCCGAGCCCTTAAGGCATTTAACCCTGTGACCAAGTTTGAAGAAAATCGGTTAACATTTGTTGTATTTATGCACGGAAACAAAACGCGGCATATAATGACGTTTTTCATTATTCAAGGGGCCATAACTCTGCCAAATTGGGTCCCCTGAAAGTGGTCATCGAATTTGGCCGAGCCCTTAAGGCATTTAACCCTGTGACCAAGTTTGAAGAAAATCGGTTAACATTTGTTGTATTTATTGCACGGAAACAAAACGCGGCAGATAATGACGTTTTTCATTATTCAAGTGGCCATAACTCTGCCAAATGGGGTTCCCACAAAGTGGTCATCGAATTTGGCCGAGCCCTTAAGGCATTTAACCCTGTGACCAAGTTTGAAGAAAATTGGTTAACATTTGTTGTATTTATTGCACGGAAACAAAACGCGGCAGACAGACAGACAGACGGACAGACATACAGACCCATATTAATATCCCCTATTTCGGTGAAAGCGGGGGATAACAATAGGGTTGAAGGCCTTCTAATGTTATAACATTTATGGACTCTGTGTTAGATTCTGGCCTGGGGTCTGGCATTGGTATTCGGACCTTTTTTTTTGCAAGTCTCCGCGGCCAGACTGCAATCTGCCAGAATTGTTCCACATGCAATGTGCCACACTTTACTCACGTGCTTGATTATAGTAATGAGATCTTAAAGGACAATCTTGTGCGGGGCATTGCTGACCCGGAAATTCCGATTTGCTTGACGCAAAGATAGACAGGACACTGAATGAAACTGTGTCATTTATTGCCCAGAAGGAGCAGGATGAAGTAACAAAGTTTGCAGTGGGAGATTCGGCAGGTGCCATATGTTCTACTCCTACCAACCCCAAGCCACCCGCATCGTCTGGAGTGAGATGCTGGGCATGTGATGGCGTTGTCATGGATTTAAGATTGACCACAGGGCCAGATATCAAAATTGTGAGGCGTAGACATTTATGTGCGCTAATTGTTCAGTGAGGGGCAACTTCACTACATCCTGCAGCCTCATCCAGAGCTTGTCCTCAGGGTACAGGTCGCAGGAATCCTCCCAAAGGCCATGCTTCAGGAGTTTCATCCAAGGACACAAACTTAGACAAAGCCGGTTATGTGTATGACCAACTTTGCACCGCATCAGCAGAGGCATCTTCGCTAGCCAAGTGTTCGCTTCGTATACACTCCACATACCCTTGACGGATAAGTAAGCGTGTTGACCGTGTAGAGTCAGGAATGTCTCATGTGGAAATGTTTACCATAACCGCTCCCATTACACCAAGGTCTTCTTTTATAGCTCCACTCATGATAACAGGGAGGATATCCTGTATCGACATTCCCATAGTGTAGGCGGATTTCATGGGTATTAGGCTATCGAACCTTATCCTTACCTCATATCAGGGATGGATTAAATTTCTTGCTTATTACCAAAGCCCGTAAAACAGCTGCTCTTCTATTTTTATATTTGCATATGAAGCCCGGATGACAATTGGTAGTGACGTCAATGACCCTGACTGACCCCAAAACGTCATAAAATGACGTCACGAACAATAGCGTAAACCTGAAAGGTAACTATAATTGCCCCGCCAGTCTGCGCGTGTAAGCGATCTAGACCCGCGGGTAGGATAGAATGTTCCAGCACCGCCGGTAATGCGGATATCTTGGTCTAGTATGCAAGAAAACTTGTTCTTGCCTCAGGCGTCCAACGGAACCCCTACCACTGCTTACTTCTCTACCCAAGGAATACGGGCCACATAAGAGAATGAAGGGGCTCTAAGAGATTGGCTTCTCGATTATTATGGTTCTACGACGTTCAATGTCTGTGAGCATCAATCATTGCCTCTTATGAAGAGTGAGCCCTTACAACTCCATGTTGATCCCAAAGCGACGCCAGTGGCAATTCACAAGGCAGCACTCGTCCCAATTAACTGGCAGGATAAGGTCTATGCTGATATAATCTCCATTTTCCAGAACATGGTCAAGTGGGTGGATGATACTAGCACGTGAAGCAGCATTCTTTCAAGCATGTGAATGGTTTGACCTGTGTGCTCGCAAAGACATCGCACTTAATTGACTTTGCGGGGCTGACAATCACTCCAACAAACATTCGGCCTAGCACATAGTTCCTAGATGCCATCAGAAATTTTCCCACACCAACTGATATCACTGGTACCAGAGCACGGATCGGGCTTATTAACCAGAGTGCGTACGCCTTTGCTAGGATAAGACAGATGAAACCGTCTACACAATTTGTCTGGACTGATGATTTGAACCGGCTAATCAACTCGTCAAAGGATGTCATCATACAGGAGATGAAGGAAGGAATGCGTCTGTATGACCCTGACCGATCGACTTGCTTGGCCACTTACTGGCCTGTTGATGGAATAGGGTTCTTCTTGATGCAGAAGTACTACCAGTGTACCGCCAAGATTCCTGCCTGCTGCCTTGATGGTTGGAAGCTGTGTCTAGTTGGCAGCAGGTTTTCACATCCAGCAGAAAGCTGCTATGCTCCTATTGAAAGCGAAGCCTTGACTATTGTTACGGACATAAGTAATAGACGACTTCTTAACCTCAATGAGAAAACAAACTCTTGGGTACAGGTTCACGGTTAAAATCAGAACCAAGGTCCGGGTGCTGCTTCTAGACACACTGCCTGCCAGTCTGATCACCTACAATTGCCTGGCAAACCTTTGGACCTTAATTCGTGTATAGTGCATAGGTCAGGTTTTGGAGCAGACGATCTTGTCAAACGACTGCGCGAGATTTTTGTGACATTTAGTATTCCGGAGGATTTGGCATCAGATTAGGGCCAGCAGTTTACAGCAGGAAAAACACAAGAATTCCTGAAAGCCTGAGGTTTTCGGCATAGTATCTATCGCTTGCAACTCCACATGCATATTGCAGGGCTGAGTTGGCTGTGAAGACTGTGAAACGCATGCTCGTGGACAACATTACCGCGTCTTGGTCTCTCGATGTTTCAGAGGACTCTATTGATGTACAGGAATGATATTTACCCGGAATCAAAGGCATCACCAGCGTTCGTTTTAATCCGTGAATGAAAATAACTGTTGTTAAGCTCTTCGGTAAAATTAAGTAATAGTTGTGAGAAATAGATTGACCCATTTCATCTGCGTTCGTTTTGTTTGGTCGACTCATCCGTGACGCCATCCCCATACCGATGGGTAGATACTCTCATCATGAAACATGGACATAGCTAATATCTTGTCGAGAGAAGGCACTCGCCCGACGTCATGCCAGGGAACATGAAGGGTGGAATGAACACACTCACTAGTTACCACCACTGCAGGTTGGAGATCACGTCTACATACAAAATCGTGTAGGAAACCATCTCGGAGATGGGCACGTACAGAGATTGTTGTGGAAATGCGTTAGTTTCACCAGTATGTAATCCGTGGGGGTGGCACAAGCAGATCTAGAGTGACACACCTTCGTAATTTGGCTCCCTTTCGCGGCACTACCTCTTGGGCTGCAGTATTAAATATGGAGGCGTTGCTCCCATCTCGTATCACTGGTATGATAGGGTGTTGTATAACTCGATGAAGAGATTTTTCTGTTGTGTTATCCAAACAAAGTGAATTTTCTAAAGAAAGGAAAAACATGTATTGTGAAAGAAGAGTTCCAAAACAATCCGGTTTTAATTTTCCAGACACGTTAAAGGATGACTGATAGCGGGCTTCATTTTTGCATTGAGACAGTTGAGATCCACATGAACCGAATATGTCTATTTGTATACCGTATGATCGTAACAAGTTGATATATTTTAACCGTTTGCCAACAGTTGGACAATGACTTATGAATACCACAGCTGTTTTGCTTTTCTTCTCAAAAAATATCGTCTAGATCTTTCTGACTGTATTTGGGTTTTTCATTTTTTCCTGAAATAACCATGTGCAATAAGGAAATCTGCATCACGCCGATATGTCATTGTCCAGTTAACCTTATTTTTAAGGTCATAAACACATTTTTGTTCCTTCTGATAGTTAGAACTCTCAAATTCAGCAAATATCCACATCTGCCCTGGGGGCTTTAATGACCGACATTAGCCCATATCTCTTGGCTTATAAATTATTGCGTCCATTTTGTCCAGATACTCTTTTCCTCTTGTAACAATGCAATCAGATACGGGAGATTTTTTCACCCTCAAATTTCTTCGACGTACCTCTAGTATCTAACAACAGCTAAGCAATGTAGATAGTATAAAAAATGGAAGGATTTCAAAGTCAAAATTGATTACCTGTAGATCTTTAGCTATCTTTTAGAAATAAAAAAAATGCAGCAGGCTCTACGACGAGGACGCAGTTCTACATAAGAGCCACCTTTTTAATTTAGATTTTTCCTTTTTTTTTGGATATCTTTAATTTACTACATTTTATATTCAATTTCAAACCTTACGATGTTCAGAACACAATCAATCTTCTTTCGATTTTTGAATATTTGCATATCAATTATGTTTCCATTTTTTACAATTAATCCTACCTGTGCTCCAATCACAAACACTCATCTCATCCACCTCATCTGATAACCTACAGGAACAGCTTCATTTGATAGTAATAGTTTTGTTGCTGGTCTTTTCTATTTGTGATGCTAATATAACAAATTATGAAAAAGGTCCGAAGTACCCCTTTTATAAACACCAAAGTTTGTCAATGAAGTTTGTTTTTTGCTTGATTGCTTCTCCGTTAAAACAAAGTTCTACCATATTTTTTATTGCAAAAAGACTACAATCGACATTATTTTTGTTCCAATACATCGAGAAGTTTTACTGGTATACTATTTTTATTGTTCCCGTACATCCAACATAATCATTGGAGTTCCGACCGAGTGAGTGTGTAGTATATAGCTTTCTTCAGATGCTAAACTATCTTGATAACTCTTCATTGCTTGTTTTGATAACGCAGGGATCTTTATCACTGTGGTGAATTTTAAACGTAGGTGAGTTTTCATTGGCATTTTTTGGGATCATATACAGACGTTAAGTTTGTTAACTAAAAACCGTTCAAATCAGGAAATTGTTTCAACAAAATTGCTTGCATCAGAGCAATTCCATCCTTTATCTTCAATGTCTACGGTTTTTAAGGTCGTATGATATCTTCGCTAACAGTATTAGAACTGTCCTATTGAAATTGAAATTTCATTTTGGAAGCCTGCTTCAATTTTACATAACTAAATATTGTTTTTTTATTTTTCGATTGCTTGTTATGTGTGTTTTATGGATCCAATATTTCGTTGATTTTGGTATGTCAGGTGATGTGGTATCTACCGTTGCTGTGTTATTGTTTCGATTTAAAGCGACTGATTTTGGTGCTGCAATAACTTCCCTTTCCTACTCATTACATCTCGTTCTGTATGTTGTAAAACTATATATACCATATCAACTGTAAATTTAAAGTTAAAACATCTACTGGCAGTTTTTACCTATCACAAGAGTTTCCGAGACAGCGTTGACATCTTTCTGATGTATAATAATACCTGAATAAGTATTATACATGTACAGACCACTGAACTGCTGAATGTTCCACTTTGCTACATGTTATTTGATGTGATTTTGAAGTTGGCTGTTGAAAAAGTATTTACCTTTGTGACTTCATCTGAAATCGCCTCATGCATATCAGTCGTTCCTAAAAACACTTTCTATAGCAAGATTTAGTCCCCCAATATGATACAATAACATTCGCAAATAATTCTAAATTTTCTATTGGAAAAGCTTGAATCTCCGCACGCTTGTCCATTTCACAATGGAGCTACTACTACAACAAAATTATTAACGCACATCAAACATAAAAACTAATATATTTGGGAATGACCACCAGGAAGACAGTTGTCAATGCAACATGATCAATTATCGCCAAAATATAGTAAAAGGCAAAACAATCAATTAAGTGTACGGGGAGAATAACAGCAACAGAATAGCATTATTTAGAGCAATAAGTAAATTGCTATTAGTCCGACATGCTGTGTAAGCTATGTTGTGTCCCACTCATAAAAACAGATTTCATGGTATTCATATTTTGAAACAGTAATATAACAGGCGAATCTTACAAAAAAGTTATATGTTAAGGTTAATATATGTATATATTGTATCATAACGAAAGACATCTTAACCTTGAAACTATCGATTTTTGAAAATAAATTTATCCATTATAGCAGCAAAAGATTTCTTCTATAGCTTCACTCCTGTTGTAGTTTTAAATATGTGCATCATACACATTCACGTAAAAGTGGACTAGCTCAAGGTAAGGTAAGTGTTTGCAGTGAGATATCAGATTGTTGTTTTGTATATAGATCGTACACGGCTATTCCCGCTAGCATTAAGGACTACAAAGGAAAGCAACACACTTATAAAGTGGACCAATGGCAGTTTAATTCTATCTACTTTATATCTTATGTATCCATTGAGGATGGTGTTATGGTTTATGTTGTTGATTTAAATAAATGAAATATAGTTTTACACGTGAAATATAATGTCGATCTTACTTAGAAAAACATATGCTGCTATTGCACTGAAACGCGCTATCGTATCACAGCAGACATAACATGTACTCTGTATTGGTGTTCACAGCGGTCCCATCAATACTGATAGTGACAATCTCTACTTTGACCTTCTGTCTCCAAACTCGTTCGGCTGTAAATATTATATGCATATAGCAAGTATGAGAGAGAAAGATGGATTTTGACCTTATGCCCCCGAATTCAATCGACTTCTTCGTCTTACCCCCTTTTATGCATATGACAGTGAAAGGTGGATTAGTACTCTTTATATAGTATCTACAACATTGATAGTGACAATCATTAATTTGACTTTCTGCCCAAAAATTCTTCCAGCGTTTTCTTCTTGCCACTCAGTATGCATGTGACAAATGTGAGAGTGAAAGATTGAATGACACTCTTTCTATATTCGTTTTCCACTCTTAAATTTAAATCCGAGTGTTTTAGCTAGTTCTCTTACATTTATATATATATGTATCGCTTTTATTAATGAAGAAATGAAGTCGTTTTGAACGAAACACAAAGTCAAAAGCAATTTTTCAACGTCGATAACAATAAATTGTCTAGGAATATGACTTTTTTTGTATGTTGTTCAGTGTGTTTCGTTATTTCGGTCATTAAGCCTATATTGTTTCAAAAGCATCTTCCACTTAAGATACTTTTTGTGTTTTGAGAAAATTAAAGTATCTGAAATTGATTTCAAGGTATTTCAAATTCATACGAATGCTTATTTATAATTTATGCTTTCTAAAGTAATAGGTCTCCAGTTATTTATAAATTGCCTGAGATTTCGAAGAAATGTTATAATACCATGCGTCTGTGTTGTATATAGCTGCCAATCTTTGAAAACGTGCCCGGGAGATTTAACAATTAATAAAGCAAATTTAAAAACAAAACTTAAATTACAGCGGCAAAACGAACTGAACCTTGTGATTTAATGTTTTATTTTTGCATATTTATGCTAAACTGTAAACTGTATCCGTAAGTATATTCCAATCAGGACTCTAGCAAAATTCCATTTACGTCTACACGTTTTTATAATGTTTTGAATAAAGATCTTCATAAAAGTCTCTTTCACCTGTTCATTCTGTTTCGTGATACATTTACCATTACGTTTTTCTAGACTATAAAAAGTTTTTGCTGTTGTTGTTTTTTATATTGCAAAAACACATATGCCAATACACGCACATATGCTAATCAGCACACATATGAATAAAGTTTTGTCCTCTTGACCAAGCAATGCTACCTATTAAATGCTTATTTCAGTAAACATGAATGTTAGTTGACTTTCAAAAACCATTACAGAAAAAGGAGTGGATTATGTTATAACAAGTCTTAACATGATTTATGTGTCTTTGGCTAAAATATTAGGTGTATTTCCATGACATTATACCGAAAAATATATTTCAACCGACGCTTTTATTATCAAGGTCTAATATTCACTTTTCATTATATGCCTTTAATAAAACAGTGCACCGAATCCAGGTCGACCGTTGGATACTAACTGCTTATTTATCAGTGACCTTACAGATGACGTAGATGTCTATGAAAATATCTTGTCGAGCTAGGAACTCACCTGACAGGTATATTTTAGGTATGTTAATAATAAGCTGTAGTGTAGATTTGCTTCTGTTTGATGGCTCTAATCTATCATTTGTTCAAAAGAGATTAATATTTTAATGTGAACCAACGACAGTTTTCAATTAAAATGTTTTGTACGAGTCTCAATGAAATATAATATATGCAGTGTGTTTCATATTATGGCATTTGTAGATAATTAGTATTTATGTGAACACTTCCTAATATAATTTATGTTTTTTCAGTTATGCTACTTGTTTCTTTCTTTGACCTTTGTTTCTGCTATTTCTTCTTATGACACAAAACATTGAAATGTGTTTTATTATCATTAATATACATTGGGTGTAGTCGATCTTCTTAAATGTCTTTAGCAAATTGTATTAGGGAAACATATCCATAAATAAGTTTCGCAACTAGTTTCTTGATAACATTCTCTGTTTCTCTGTTTCTCTGTTGACTTTCAACAAATACATTTTTATTATATCGAAACAAATGAACATACATTTACGTTAAGACATCTACTCTCGGCATAGCAATATTTTTATAACGCTAGATAATTAGAAATCAATTCGCCTGTTCGTCTTAGGGTTATAGATTTCATGAAAATAGCATAAATAATGATTTACGATTAATATAAACTTAAGTTTGAATTGCCATTAATGTTTGTGTTCTAGGTGACAACAATATTCGGGTCGGACGCCTACAGAGTGTTTATTAACACTCGGCTACTATTGTACATTCTGGCAATCCCTGTCTTCCTGTCAATTGGTACTGCCTATGTCTTCTACATCATAGGACTTTGGTGCTTTGTAGCATTTGCAACATTTCTGTTCGCCTACACGATACAGGTAAGGACGTTCTTAGCTCTTCTGACGCGCAGTGCCTGTGAGCTCCGTCAATCGGTCAATCCATCAATTGCATTTCTTTTTCTTAAAATGACTACTTCCAGCACGTGTAAGAGAGTGTATGGAGGTATGGAGACAAATGTAGTATACACGGATTTAATTTGGCCCAATACTTTCCTGAACTAAAAGGAAAATAACTATTGCCCAAATGAAGGATGGTATCACAAAGAGGCAACAGGGTGCAATTTGCAAGGGTAGATGTTTAAAAGACAGTTCAATATTGTATACATGAAGAGTGTTGGTCTCTAGAAGCAGAGGTGTGCAAACATTATGACTAAGTTTGAGTTACGGTTAAAAGGATTTGGATCCAAGTCAATATGAACAACCCCGGGCCAATGTGTTTCATACAAAACAGCATACGGGCCACGTAGAAAAAACCCGTTTTTTTTCGAGTTAGTAAGTCGAAATGTAGAATTTTTGTCTTGAACTTTCGAGCTATTATCTCAAATTTCGCGTTATTAACACGACCCTTATGCTCTTCCGTAGACAATGTTGTATAAATTGAAAGTTTGGATGCAAACCTCTACCCCTAATCAAGTATTTCTACAATACATTTAAAGAAATTTCAATTTTGTCGGTTGTTTCTTAAATTTTAAATTCTATTTATACTTCCATTTAAAGATTTTACCTGAAATCGTAGTATGCATTCGAATAAAACGTTGCGATCATCATAGTAAGATATTGTCATTTTCTCTCTGACATACAAACTACGTAACAAATACATCATCTGAGGTGAGTCATGATGAAACTAAACACTAACATTACAAAGGAAGGTTTTGTTGGCTGTAATTTAGTATTCCTAATGAATTTTACAACAAACGTATGCCTAACAATATAAATAAATATGCCTACATGCAACACAGCAAAATACAACACGTGCAACACGACAAAAACGATACACGATGTATGATATGTAAATTCAAGAAACATGATTGGTAGTTAACTAATAACTGTTCCGGCTATCAGAAGTTCTGATACTTTTTAGCTAGCTTTCATTCAATGTAATTATATACTCGTGTTCAATCAATTAGATTTTTATTGTCACATTCATATTACCAGATTTGCCATAATAATTGTTTTGTGAAGGATACACGTATAACATATTTTCCTGAAGGTCCCCCCTATGACATGTTGAATAGTCCTAGTGTATTGTGAACATTAGGGTAACAGTGAGTTAGTCGGTACTGTGGTCTAGTGTGTAGTTTACCCGTCCATTGTATTCCTGCATATAGCCTTAGTGTAAGTTATTTCCCGATTGGGAGCTCCAGAGCTGGGGTGCAAATTATACATTTGCACTGGTGAGTTGGCTAATTTCTAACTTACTGGATGGCACAATCAGTTGGCTATGCATGCGGATCGACTGATTTTCAACAGTAAACATCACAATATTGACTAGTTGTGGCTTAGGCTAACCTCTGAGTTAAGTCATTAAGTAACCCAAACGAAGTCGGGGAGACGTATTGTTATTGTTCCGTTTCTTACTTATTCTTATTAAGTCACCCCGAACGAAGTCGGGTGACTTATTGTTATTGTTCCGTTTCTTACTTATTATTATTATTATTAATATTATTGATATTATTCCATCGCATTTATCCGCGCTTTATCTCAGGCACTACTAATAGGATTCTTATCAAACTTTGCATACATAATCAGTACGATATCTAGTTGTGCATCTTACTTTTTTTTCCCGGGTCAACCGCCGCTGCTCTGATTGGCCGAAATCGTTATCCAGTAATAATATTCGTTCTATTTGACGGAACATAATGAAACTCAGTGAAAGGGATGATTACGTCACGCCGTTATTTTCGACAAAAAATATTTCAATTTGGATTCAAAATGGCGGCCAAATGCTGGCTTCTAATTGGTCGAAATGTAATCTCATCCAATTTCAATTAAATTTAGTATGTAGGTGTAGTATGGTACTAGGAACACAACTGCGTTGCTCGTTTTGTGAAAAGAAACCCAACCAAAACGCTGCCATTTCCTGGCCTCGCATTGGTCAAAATTTTAATGTCGAAATCATATACAGTAATAACATTCGTTCTATTTGATGGCACATAATGAAACTCAGTAAAAGTGATGATAACATCACAGCGTTCGTTTTCGACCAAAAAAATTATTCACTTTGGATTCATAATGCCGGCCTAATGTAGGCTTAAAATATCGTCCAATATTGATGAAATTTGGTATGTAGGTATAGTATGGCACTACGAACACAACTGCAGTGTTCGTTTTTAAAAATAAATAAAATGGCTGTAAGTTCCTGGCCTCTGATTGGTCAAAATTTCAATATTGTCTGATTTTCATGAAATTTGGTATGCAGGTATAGCATGGAACACCGGTCACTTTCGTAACATCAGGGCTCACGCTGTCGGTAGCCAAAGTAGCCATTGGCTACTTTTATTTTTTATTGGCTACTAAAAATTCAATGTGGCTACTAAATTGACTACTAAGTTTTTAAAAATGGGGAAACTCTAGTATCTTTGTCGCAGAAAACGATCCGTCTACTCGAGCTCACGTGTGTATTGTGGCTGACACTGATTGCGTAAACATAATCAGGGCCGTCACAGATCAGCGCGCGCTGTAAGACTGCGAGTTAATTAATGCTTTTGTCTAAGTTGTAAAGTCGATTATCAAGCTTCAGATGGCAAAAGGTGTTATGATTCTTGTACAATAATGGACAGTGGGGTCAAGTTAATTGGATGACCCTTTGACGTTGAGAAAACAGTCTGATAAGCGAGTCACACATAGGTGGTCTCGCACACGTACATTTGACGGCGCCGTAAGCCGATCTGATAAACTCGTTCAAACACCGCATCCAACAAATTTACGGGTTCAGTATATCTAAAATATTGTATATGGTATTCATTTACTTTTTCCAGTACCGTATTTAGCACACATACGTCCAATATACTTGATTAGAAATTATAAGTATCGCCTTGAAACACCATATCGGAGTGCCGATTTTCGGCCTTTCAGATAACTTCAAACGATCGGCCCTATATCGTTTCTGACTGTGTACTTTCGTGGTTAGACAATTTAGAATTTCAAGTGATCGAGAAAAGTTATTTAGCATCGCAGTTATGCAGTTTTTAGAACAGCAAACCGTTCAGAAGTACTTCGACGGTCGCTTGTATTAGGTGCCAATCGACGACACGTGCACGGGAATGGCCACAAAATGGCTGCCATTTTCTGGCCTCTCATTGGTCGAAATTCAAATATCGTCCAATTGTGATGAAATTTGGTATGTATGTGTAGTATGGCACTACGAACATATTACCGGTGCTCAATTTGTGTGTACTAAGCATGGGAGGTGGCTTCCGCTATTGCTCGCAATTGGAATTCGAGTTATTATTATTATTCTGTCGCCGTAAAAGTTTCCGCGACTAATCTCAGGAACTACTAATCGGATTCTTATCATATTTTGCATACATAATCAGTAAGATATCTAGTTGTGCACCTTACTCATTTTTTCTGGGTCAACCATCCAAGATGGCCGCCGCTGCCTCTGATTGGCCAAAATCATATCCAGTAATAACATTCGTTCTATTTGATGGAACATAATAAAACTCGATGAAAGGGATGATAACGTCACAACGGTCTTTTTCAACAAAAAACTAATTGACTTTGGATTCAAAATGGCGGCAAAATGCAGACTTCTGATTGGTCGAAATTCAATTACTCTCCAATTTTGATAAAATTTGGTATGTAGGTGTATTATGGCACTACAAATACAACTGCAGTGTTCGTTTTGTGAAAAAAATAACTGCTATTTCTGGGCCTCTGATTGGTGAAAATTTAAATATTGTCTAATTTTCATGAAATTTGGTATGCAGGTATATCATTTGGCCATGTCGGCGATCGACCTCGTGCGGGATCCACCTGTGACGTCACGTCAACAGGACAACCATATTCGGCTTGTTCATTTGAGAAATCGCTTCCAAACGGCAAGTTTGACTGGACGGACAATCCCTGGGTTGCTACCAATAAGCCCGAGAACTGTACGGAACCGATTGCGTGAACGAGCTATCCGACCGCGACGTCCTGCAATCCGCCCAGTTCTTCTGCCACGTCATCGTGTAGCACGTCTGGACTGGTGCAGAAGGCATCTGCGATTTACTCGACGGGATTGGGCAGGCATTTTGTTTACGGACGAGTCGCGAGGCCACCTTGATAGTAGTGACGGCCGTTCCAGAGTGTATCGGCGCGTTGGAGAACGTTTCCGTGACGCGTGTGTGGTACAACGACGTTCTTTGGGCGGAGGCAGCGTTATAATTTGGGGCGGCATCACAGCCAACGGAAGAACGCCTCTGGTGGTTGTTAACGGGAATTTGAACGCGCTACGTTACCGTGACGAGATCCTCCGGACCCACGTCATTCCATTCAAGGGCAGGAACGTCACATTATGCTACAGCAGGACAACGCCAGGCCACACACAGCTCGTGTCTCTATGGACTTTCTGGCCCAGCAGAACGTTGACGTGTTGCCCTGGCCTGCTGTATCCCCTGATCTGTCGCCCATCGAACACGTCTGGGATGAAATGAATCGCAGATTACGGGCATTACCTAATCAACTGGTGACGTTGGCTGATTTGGCTGCAGCGTTGGTACAGATCTGAAATGCCATCCCACAAGCATTCTTGAACCGTCTGATAGGCTCCATGCGTCGACGTTGCCAGGCTTGCATTCAGGCAAACGGTGGACATACGAGGTATTCATTTTGTGAACTTAGTATTGACCCCTGCTGTGTTTACGTCACTCCTGAGCGGAACTTATTGATTCCATAACGTGGAAAATGGAATGCAACTGTTGATAAATAACAAATAAATTGTCCCTGAAAACCTTGTTGTTCTACGTCATACACATATATTTTTAAAACACATTTTAGGCATGGACAGTTTCTTTTTTCCGCTAGTATATATTTGTTGTTACTGACGACACCATCAAATATCCTCTATATATTCTTTAGGTTTTTGTTCCATTAAAACTATAGTCCTTGCAAAATACAAATACTAACTAATAATGTGTTAACTAAAAATTTAAAAGATACTGAACAGGTTTTGATCGGTTCTCTTCAGCTATACAATTCCGATGGAATACGCTTTTGCTATCCTTTAACTGCTAACAAATTCTGCTAAAAGTCTTTTCTTTTTAAGCAAATGTGAGATTCCGTTTTTACAAACGTAGGGGAAACATATAGGAATTTCTGGTATTGTCGGCTGTGGGAAGTCGTCTCTGATGCAAGGCACTGACTGGAAGGGTAAGCTATTACTGTAAAACAATCGACATTACCAATTTTAACGGTTTTTATGTACTTTTTAAATAATGTAAATATACTTTAGAGTCATTTTACAGAATGGTTTTATGGACAGGAACAAAATACATTATCTCCTGAAATGTTCCAATATACGTCATTAAGTTGATTTAAAAGGTTCAAGTATTTTTGTTTATTGATACCATTCATGGTTCAAAAACATGTTGTGCAAAAATCTGATGGTACAAAATTGAAAAAACATTCAAATTGTACAGGAAGCATAATTATGATTGATTAAAAGACGAATTGAGACTACAAAAAGAGCAATAAAACTTAACACCAAAAATATGATCGTGGATACATCAGAGTTTTGACAGAATACCTTGTAAACCCCAGATGCCATAGATCAGTGGACATTTGGCTGTGGATGGTACAGTGGCTTATGCGGCTCAACAGGCCTGGATAATTAACGGGACATTGAGGGAAAATATCCTGTTCGGAAACCCGTATAAACAAGATTGGTAAACCATAGATGATACTTTGTAATATATAAGTGTGTTAGTTTAAACATTATGTTATCAGTTTCATGTGGAGTTGAACTGAATGTGTTGAATTTAAAGCACCTGTCTGGCAATCACATTTAAGAAGTTTGTTTATCAGGAACATTGTTCGATAGTATGTATTCCTTCAGCTGTATGTTTTATTTGATTTCATACATATACTGGCTATTTGAATTTAAAAAGGCCAAAAAATAAAAAGAGACGAAAAGGAATGTTACATGATAACAAGTTTCTACACAATTATTGTTTTAATCATTATACAATTCCAGCGCGAGGAGTCGCTTCCGTCATCTTAAGTAAATATCCATACCAGTAGCAATTCGAAATCTAAGCGCTGGTAAACACTTCAATTTTAACTCCATTTTCAGTTTGTTGAGATGAAATTGAAACTGTATGTATTGATTAAATTTATTGATTATTTAGGTATGCAGAGGTTTTGGACGCATGTAACTTCGAACCTGATCTCCGAAAACTGGCCAAGGTGACGCTACTGAAGTATCATCGGGATAACTAATTTTAACAAAGTCATTAAAACAGGAAATAGGTGAACAACGAAAACAAAACACAACAACTGACATTAGGTAGACAAAAAAAAAAAAAAAAAAAAAAAAAAAAAAGGGAAAAAAAAAAAAAAAAAAAAAAAAAACATAAATAGGGAAGACAACAAAAAACAACAGCATAAATAGGGTAGACAACAAAAGACAACAACGTAAAAAGGGTAGATAGAAACGACAACATAAATAGGGTAGATAGAAACGACAACATAAATAGGGTAGATAGAAACAACAACAACATAAATAGGGAAGACAACAAAAGACAACAACATAAATAGTGTAAATAACCTGGACAACAATATAAATAGGGTAAACAACAAAAGATCAACATAATATAGTGTAGATAACACAAGACAACAACATAAATAGGGTAGACAACAAATACAACAACATAAATAGGGAAGACAACAAAAAAAACCCACATAAATATGGAAGACAACAAAAGACAACAACATAAATAGGGTAGACGACAAATACAACAACATAAATAGGGAAGACAGCAAAAGACAACAACATAAATAGGATAGATAGAAACGACAACATAAATAGGGGAGAAAGAAACAACAACAACATAAATAGGGAAGACAGCAAAAGACAACAACATAAATAGGGTAGATAGAAACTACAACATAAATAGGGTAGATAGAAACGACAACATAAATAGGGTAGATAGAAACGACAACATAAATAGGGGAAATAGAAACGACAACATAAATAGGGGAAATAGAAACGACAACATAAATAGGGTAGATAGAAACGACAACATAAATAGGGTAAATAGAAACGACAACATAAATAGGGTAAATAGAAACGACAACAACATTAATAGAGAAGACAACAAAAGACAACAACATAAATAGTGTAGATAACAATGACAACAATATAAATAAGGTAGACAACAAAAGACCAACATAATATAGTGTAGATAACACAAGACAACAACATAAATAGGGTAGACAACAAATACAACAACATAAATAGGGAAGACAACAAAAAACAACAACATAAATATGGAAGACAACAAAAGACAACAACATAAATAGGGTAGATAGAAACGACAACATAAATAGGGTAGATAGAAACGACAACAACATAAATAGGGAAGACAACAAAAGACAACAACATAAATAGTGTAGATAACCACGACAACAATATAAATAGGGTAAACAACAAAAGATCAACATAATATAGTGTAGATAACACAAGACAACAACATAAATAGGGTAGACAACAAATACAACAACATATATAGGGAAGACAACAAAAAACAACAACAGAAATAGGGTCGACAACAACAGAAAAAGACATAAATAGGGTCGACAACATGAAAAAATAGCATCATTAACTGAATTTGGGAGGAGTAATCATGTGCGCTAACGATCAACGTTACCTGTATCACATGCAACATTAGTCAAAATGTCCCTCGCTAAATTCAAGTAAGTAAGTAAGTAAAAACTGTATATTTGTCTTACACTACCTTGTTTAAGATTGGCGATAGAGGAACAACCCTAAGTGGCGGCCAGAAACAGCGCGTCAGCCTTGTACGTCCAGTCTATAGTCAAAGCGACATATGTCTCCTTGACGACCCGCTGTCTGCCGTTGATGTCCATGTCGGGCAACACCATTGTTTTGGTGACTCACCAACTACAGGTAAATATTAACTATCACTTTGAATATTGTAAAACAGTCTTATAAGAAGCAAAATGAAAAGATAAAGAAAAACAATCAGAACTAAATTAGTGGTATATATCTTGTTACCCTGGATGATCTCGATTGTACTTTGAATCCTGTTAAAGCTGAACATAGCAAGGATACCAATTTCTTGTCGGATCTGTTAAATCACCCGTCCCGTGAAATATTTTGGTGTTTACTTCATACATAGTTAACAAAAGATATGGAGCCAACCCTCATTTCACTAGGTTTGCTGTTATTCCAATCAAATCCGCCAAAAGTACAATATCTACGACCTAGTAAAACACATTCGGACGACGTCTACAGTATTATTATTATTATTATATATTTTTATTTTTTTCATATTAACTATACACATGATTTATTAACTTCACACATGGTTATTTTATTCATTGAAATAACTCCTTTTTGACATTTTATGATCTCACAATATTTCGTGATACATTGTTTATATTTTTGAAAAAATTATATGATTTGACATAAAGTACTTCTTTAAAGATTATGAAGTCAAGATCTTGATTTCAACCATGCATTATATGTTAGCTTGCTATAAAGAATTTGTTTTTCTTTCGTTATCAACATTCCGATTTCTCTGTATTTAAATACCTACAATGTACCCCCAATAGATCATAGAATGACAAAAATCATAAAATGGCAATACGTATTGTTTTTGGTCCAACAAAACAGCATGCTGATTATATCAAGTTCAAGCTGATAGATATGTATGTATGCACATTTTACTTCAGGTGAAATAACAAACGTTCTTTAATTTAATACAAATTCAGTATTGTTATGCGATACACGTGTTATGGTCACAGGAGCTCAATACTGTAAGTTACATGATATTCGATATTGTTCACAAGAGCTGTTAAGAATACATTACAGCTTTTGAAAAATCACATTTATTGATATATTAACAATAATACAGATAACTGTGGTTGTAATATAGCACTGTCTTCAGGCTTTTTTTTTTATCACATATGGAATAGCGAAGCGACCTCCTGTGTCCTTTACATCAGATATTTCAGGCATGTGACGAATGAGTTGTGAGATAGATACAGTCTTACGGAAATGTACAGTCAATTACCTTGCCTTTGTTCATGCATAGTATTAACGTATTGATGTTAATTCTATTTGTTTGTTTATCATCAGTGTTTAGTGTAAGAATATGTGTAGAGTATGTGATGCATGTGTCTAGCTGATAGAAATGTAAGTGAATGTGTATGTATTGTACCCGAGATCTGCAGTTTAACTACCCATTTTTTAATTGCATTTCATTTTTTCAACTGAAATCTACTCAGCTTCTGAGAGAACCAATAATAGTAGATGTTTTTTATGGTAATGTAAAATAACATTAAAATACCATCTGCAAACTGTAGAGGCTTAGGGCAGAAGGAGAAAAGAAATGATATATTTAATTATTTAAAAAAGTACTATAAAGATTATAATATTATATGTCGTCAAGATACACATTTTACAAAAGAACAGGAAAGGGAAATAACATTACAATGGCGATATAAATGCTTTTTTTTTAGCTGTTACAGAAACAATTCAAGAGGAGTTTGCATATTTTTTGATAATAGTTTTGAATTTGAGATTCACAGTAAATGGAAAGACACAGAAGGAAATGTAATAGCCCTTGATATAAGCATTGGAAAAGATAGATTTTCATTAATTAATTTATATGGTCCCAATAAAGATGATCCAGATTTTTATGAAAAAATATATAAGCAGATTATTAATTTTAGCAATCTTGTTGCATAATTTGTGGTGACTTCAATTTGGTTTTAGATCAGTAAAAAGACACAAACAATTATATAAATATAAACTCTACAGTATTATTTGGTATACAAATGGTACGTGGCTTTTGTACTAAAAGCTCACTTTGAAATTTTAACAAACACTTCAATTTTATTCCACAATTCAGTATCAATACAATTGCGCATGGTATGTCTATAGGGTGATTTAAGTTTATCAATAGAAATCTGAGCTGAAAGTTAGATTTGAAATTGTTAAGATTTTTCCCCGGAACAAATATCGCGCATGGATAATTACACTAAACACCGTGAATCCGACCTTGCCCTCCACGAGGGAGTTATTTATGGAAGTTAAATGAGCAGAGAGAAAAGTTCGAAATTCTGAAGAATCCTGAAGTGAATTTATTTGTTGACTGTATGGGAATCTGAAGTGGTACAGTCGGTAGATTCTACAACAGCCTCATTTATTTGTTGACTGTATGGGAATCTGAAGTGGTACAGTCGGTAGATTCTACAACAGCCTCATTATATGATATGTCATCAGAAACTGAGGAAACCGTGGCTGCGAGACGCGTGAAACTGATAGCGTTTGAAGGGAATGATCTTGCGACGGAGCACAGGGGTTCGTTAAAAATGTCTGAAATACGCATATGTCTTGTGTATGTTTATGTGTGCTGTGACTCATATCAGGTCTGTAGCATATGTGTCAGTAGGTCTATAGCATATATGTATTTCAGACATTTATAACGAACCCCTGTTGATCAGTGCAGTGTAAGAGACGACATTTCTGATAAATTGTATGAGTGTTAAAATAGTTTCCATCGATTTCATTTTTTTTTCTTTTGCACATTTACAATTACATTGTCAAGTCTCACAATGCCCAGCGATATTTCAACAGCCGTCATGTTTATTTACATTGGATATTGTAGTACCGGTCAGTGGTGTATTAACACGCTAAGAATTATGTGTCGTGGTGCATGGTATTTAAAGTCCCATCAAAGACACAGCTTTGAAATAGCCTATACAGTGATAACGCCATGCAAATGTAAATATACATATTGTATAATCTTGGCAGCACAAACACTGTCAGAGGATTTTGACAATTTTAGTAAATGGGCTTACTTTTGCGACATAAGATTTAATTCAATATGAAAATTGTATATTCCAGGGAAACAATCATCACCAATATCTTTCTAAAATAGTATAATTTCGAACTTCCGGTTTGCGCCTGACAAGGCTTGCCCCCGTAGGATCCTGGCAAATTTAGTGTTTTTCACGAATATACTTATTAACCAACGCTGAAGTTTGCCATATTATCATTTTAATAGTTCGAGATCATTTCTCGTGTTTAATTAGAGTTTTTGAATTTAAAACTTTTGTCGTAATTTTTGGTTTTAGTTCGTATATCAGAGGACAGAATTTTAGCCGCTTGGCGAGTTGTCTACAATTTTGAAGTTGTTGTGACGAAGTGACGTCTGTAAAAGTCGTCGTGTGAGCTTGATCCACTGCCTACAGACCTTTAAAAACACTGCTTCCTTTTATTACCTCAATCATGAACAAATCATTGGCTGAGTCAAAGGTTCCATTATGTTTCAAGAAGGCACATGTTAGACCATTGTTAAAGAAGCCTGGAATGGACAAGGAGGAGTTGAAGAACTACCGCCCAGTTTCAAATCTGCCTTTTCTGTCTAAGATCTTGGAAAAGGTATTCTCCCGGCGTTTAGAGGTTCATCTCCATGCAAACAGTCTCCGTGACAACAGGCGATCGGCCTACCGCATGTGACACTCTACTGAGACGGCCCGCCTTTGTGTACATAATAACATAGCTTCTGCATTGGATAACAAGTGCAGAGCGGTTCTTGCCATGCTGGACTTGTCAGCTGCATTTGACGTTATCGACCATGGCATACTTTATAAACGTCTGGAATACTCTTATGGAGTGACTGATACCGCACTATGCTGGATACAGTCTTATCTGAGTGATCGACGGTAGTGTGTTGCCATCGGATCGACCACCTCACATGACGAAGTATTAGATTTCGGGATTCCTCAAGGGTCGATGTTAAGACCACGCAAATATCGCCTGTACTCCAAACCGATTGGAGAGATTTGTCGTCGCATTCGTCTTCGCTATCATTGCTATGCTGTTGACACACAAATTTACATGGTCATCATCCAACAGGACAGTTGGGATACAGTTTCAGAAAATCTGGAAGCTTGTCTGACAGATATCAGTACCTGCATGAACGCCAACATGCTAAAGCTTAATCATGAAAAAACGGAACTAATCGTCTTTTCCCCAAAGTGTCAGCAAACAATGGCTCTCCAGCTCAAGGTCGGTGCCAGAACTATTGAGAATGTCCCAGCTGTTAAAAACATTGGGGTATACTTTCATAGTTCACTGAATATGGAGAAACAAGTGAACGCTATTGCCAAATCCTGTTACTACCAGATCAGGAACATCGGCTGTATTCGGCAGTTTTTAATTGAAAATGCATGCAAGATTTTGTTGCATTCACTTGTTACATCTAGGTTGGATTATTGTAACGCCCTGCTCTGTGGTATATCTGACAAACTAACTAGTCGCCTGCAGAGGGTCCAGAACACTGCAGCACGGCTGGTTACTCGTACTCGAAAGAGAGAGCACATCACAGATGTACTATATTCATTGCACTGGTTATCTATACGATACAGGTCGCAGTACAAAATGTCGGTGTACACATACAAGGCACTGAATGGAACAGCTCCTCAGTACCTACATGAGCTTGTTACCTTGTATCAGCCATTAAAATCACTGCGGTCGGGGTCAGAATCATTGTTGTGTGTCCCAAAATCTCGAACTGTGACCTATGGAAACCGGTGCTTTGGGAGAGTTTCAGCCACGTTGTGGAATAGCTTACCATCTGCTATTAGAAAGTCAAACACCCTGGCCAAATTCAAGAGGGACATTAAAACTCACCTCTTCACATCTGTATTTTACGGTCTCTGCAAAGACGTCATGTAAATACCACCCTTTATTTGTTCAAATACATGTTGGGTGTGTGTATGTGCACATTGCTTGCTTAAATATATAAAAATGATTGTAAGCCTTCGTTTTTGTTTCACAATTATATAATTATTGATTCATCTTCACATGAAAATCCTGTTACTGTTTTTTCTTTTGTTCTATCTCCTAAATGACTCATCATGGAAGCAGAATATAGGTAGAAAATAAAACATCAATTTAAAATTTTATATCTTTTATTACACTTATTTTGGACTCGATCTTTTTTTTAAAATGTAATAACAATGTGGTTCACTTGTTAAAAACTACAATCTAATCTTGGTATACTCACAACAAAACGTAGTTTAAACCTACACGGTAAAATAACAAAGACAATTTTGTCTCACACTGTCAATCCGTGCTATTTTATGTAGTTATTTATTGACATGCAAGCTGTCACCAGAATGAGTATATCATACGTGAATTGGAAATATTATTATATCTATACCAGAAAATACGTGATATCGATTAAAATAGACTGACAGAAGCATTCAGTATTCATGCTTTATGCACCAAAACAAAGCGTCGGTTATATGCCCGATGCTATCATTATAGTCCTTTTATAAAACAATCGTTAACATTTGCAAAAGCACGTGGTACATATATTAACCAAAGCTTTGTACAACGAAGACATTTCACGATTGTAACAGGAAAGGGATATAGAGGATATAGAGAAGAGCCATGGAATACTTCCGGAGGCTTATAGACTGGGTCATATATAACAGGAATTCGGAGAAACGGAAACTTTTGGACGGGGAACAAACGTAATGTATACAATTTACATGTTACAAAATGTTAAAGAAATGTGTTGTAGAAAAACGAAAGTATATGATTTAAATTTTATTGTTTATATGTATCGGAGTACCATTAGAACCGGAATCAAAATCATTAGATCTAGGGTAAAATATGAATAAAAGACTGGTTTAGAGACCTTTGGAAAAGTACAGGGAAAATAAGACAAGGTGCTCCAGAACGGTAAGTTCGGTAAGATTATGTATTGCCATTGATTTAAGTTCAGGAGGGTATATACGATCGTCAATACATTTCTTATTATTTCAAGACAGCACTCCGTCGATTTATCTTAAAGTGATTAAATGACATGGCAAGGATTTTGGCCTAAGAATCGGACATTATCCCAGAAGAGGAAAACAAAGCTTTTTTTTTTAAAAACCAGGACGTGATATACCAACGTCTATACAAATATGTTTGTTATTCTCTGCTTAATGTTCGACATTTATAGTAATAGTAACAACTGATTAACTAGTGATCAATGCATAACTAATATGATCGGGTTGAATACTGTGTTTGGCGGAAAATTCAACCTAAATACCTTGCATCCAACATACATTCACGTAAGCACACATAACACATAGAGGCATGACCTAAAGTAGTCTAAGCTATTCATTGGACTTAAACAAAATAACACAAAACCAAACCTGTTTTAGCTCTAGTTATTTCAATTACATATAAAGCATATAGGATATGAGGCTTAATATCGTTAAGTGGAAAAATCGTTATGACATTCCCGGCGATGCATGTGTTAAGGTTAGGGTTTTGTCATTCATCATAAATGACATGAAAAATATCTTGTCGAAATATCTATTTTCAGAAATGGACCGATTCCTATTAATGACGTAGGGTTTTTATCCTATATGTCAATTGGGTGGCTTACACCTCTTGTTTTAAAGCTTTTCAAAGACAGAAGAAACGAAATAAGAGAGAATGATGTTTGGGCATGTTCAGAGTTGGAGTCTTGTGCCGTCAACACAGAACGGTAATAAATAGATTTTGTAGATATACACATCTCTTGCATTAGCAGGCATAATTCAAAATCTATTTTCATCAATATGAAAATATAGAGTGATATAGACATGCATTAAAAACAATGTACAATGTTCTGCATCTTTTCAACGTTTAGAAGCGGAGAGCTTCGATCGTTAAAGAGTACTGCTAACAGATTTTTTGCCGTAATATGAAGTTGTAATCTGTGATGATTTATTTTATCAGGCTAAAATAATGTGAAAAATGAAATTCGATAAAATTAGTAGAGCTTGACCTCAACTAACCCTGAATATTATGACTATTTATATTAAGTTATTAGTTGTTATTCTACTTTAAAAAACAAAATATTGACAAATACTCACAGCAGTTATTTATTTTATTTAGTATCTTCTCAGATTTGGCATTCTGATCTCTCTCTCTCTCTCTCTCTCTCTCTCTCTCAGTGCTCTTTGTCGATTTGTTTTGTCTATTCTATGTGTGAAAGTGTGTGAAAATTGAATGTGTCTTGGTGATTGTATAGAATCAGCATCAGATGATGAGGATGATGAGGAGGATGAGGTTGCTGATAATTTCAATAGTAGATATGTGTGAATGTGTGGATATGTGTTGATGTGATGTTCTGTATAATGTACATGTTCTGAAAATCTTTGAAAATAAAAAATAAAATAAAAATAAATAAAAAATGAAATTCGTTCTCATACATATTCATATCTTATTTAGTGAACTCTGTCATATGAAAGATTTCTTTTTCATTAGAGTGGAACCATTGTGGATAGACGAGCTACAAACGTATGGGCGAGACAAATGCTCTGTGTTCAGGCTTTGGCTGAAATTCATATGGAGTCGATTACTACTTGTTGTGATAGGCATATGTTTCAATGCTGCGGTAACCTTTCTTGTGACGGTAAGTACCATTTGCTCTCTTCCTCTTATCGCTATCTGTCGATTTGATTCAACCTTCCACTTAGCTCTCGTGATAATTTAACTTCTTGAGCTAGTTTCCCAAACCTCTTCAAAAAATTAATAGTCGTTTACCAATATTTCGATCATTTACTGCAAACCATTGCGTGCATATATATGTCTTTCAACTGAGCAACTACAAACCAGAATATCAATTGAACATGCATATTACTATCTGTAAATAAGTTCTTTATACAAAATCATACTACTATCTCTTACATTTGGAGCTCCCCAGCATTAACTGTGTATTAAATTTGGCCATGACCTATTTTTGTAACTCTGAAGAGAAAAGGCGGATTATAGATTTTGTCACCAAGTTACGTATTTAATAAGCCCACCTAGTTGAGTCATCTTTTATTAGCGAAACACCATTGACATATGCTATGCTTGATTATATTTCAGGGCTACATCACCGATATCATAACACAATACTTGGAAGGACCGGAAACATCGGCATCTTACGTCGTAGGATTGGTAATACTTAGCCTTGTTGGACATACCCTAAGGTGTTTTTCGTACACAAGTCTGCGCGTTTATGGAACACAAACAGGCAGGTTATTGCTTAATTGGGGCAGTTTACAAACTTAAGTCTGAGACAAGTTTACTTATGCGGAAAATATGATGGAATAGTTAAAGTTGAGAATGCCTGTGGATAACAGTGACGGAAAGAGGAAGAACATTAGGATAAAACAATCCATAAACTTCGTTTTGGAGACTCATTTACAAAGTAATACTAAACAACAAATAGAAAGAAAAATCTGGATTGATCGAATCGGTTCAAATTCTAGCTGACGGGTTATTCATATATTCGAACTGTTAAGAATCATTTACATCGGGAAGAGCCTCTATGATCACAATTGATACTTAAATACACAAATTTTTCATTGTATTATTGTATATGTTCCCGTTGATTGTGTGCCAACTTTGTGTCCCGGGTTTGCCCTCGGGTTTTACATATTTTTTCATGTTTCACATTCTTGGTAAATAGGTCTAAGGTTTCGATCTGCAATTCTGGGAATGACGTATAAAAAACTCATGAAGTTAAAGAGTATGAATGGGAGGATTGCGTCTGAGGTAAGACTGCATTTTGCTTGTGGCATATCATACCTTCAACAAATACAAATTAAGTAAATGGATAACAAAAAAGTATTGTATAAAAAATTCAATGACCATGTCGAGACGAAAAAAGACAGATGCGCTGTGAAACGTTCGTTTCAGGTTTACTAACTCCAATTAAGTTATTGATTGTTTTTTAATTTTATACCATGTATATAATGGTTTAATTGGAAAAGAATATATGTATTACTACCCCCTCCCCCCGCAATCTTGCCTGCCAAATTTAATTTAAATTCACAGGGAGTCATACAAGCTTATTGGTATTAATATCATCAGTTATTCCCAAAGATAGGATTTATGTAAAAGTTAATGTAATCGCAAACGTGAATAAAACATCGTTTATGAATTAGATTAACTATATGAGAAACAAGTTTGTCTTTTGCTGAGACAGGAACATGGCTAAAAAATCTAGCAATGTTATTTGCTTACTGCAAATAGAGGGGCATACGATGTATCTCAACGTGCGTTCAGTGTACGTGCATTAATTTATCCTTGTGCACTTGCCGAATATCACATTTGTCACTGCTAGCAGGCATTTTTGACAATCGTTGCCGACTTTGTTACTGTTGTGTAAAACGTAAAATCTAAGACAAAGAGCAAACAAATAATTCCTGGTGAAAGTGTTCGGTATGCTAAGCCTAAAGTGAAAATGTCCGCAAACAAGCGGTTGGAATGATTCTGGCTTAAGTTACCAACAATGTTGCTGCTAGACCGTTTTTTATTATTATTATTATTGTAGGGGTGGATTTTCGCCATCGTGATAAAACGAAATTTGGCTTGGGAGGCGAAAAAGACAAAAGCTAGTCTACGTCGTACATTTGAACGGTGTTCTGTTCATGACTTAGATTTGATCATGCTCTAATATATTTAATAAAGTTTGTTATTTACAACTTCGGAACAACTTATCATAATTAAATATTTATTATACATACAATTAAAACAAATCTAAATTCATAGAAATATATATCATGTTCAACGCACATCCTCTCCCAGAAGACATCAGAAAAGATTCATCCACTTCAAAACCTAATAATAATTCTCTCCATATGCCTTCATAATTTTATCCTGGTACTAGAATATGTGAAATTTCTATGCAGACTTCGGAGGAAATGTAAATATCACTAAACGACAACCTTTTATTATGATATACATATCTAATATCTTGTCAGACTATGAACGCACAAGGTTTGGGAATAATAACTTGTAGATATGCTTCTGTTTGTTGATAATAATCTATGTCCCCAATAGAAACATACTTAAATGAGTATCAAATTATCAAATTGTAACGTTTCATGAGGCTTAAAGTACAATCATTATACGCGTTATATAAGTTCTGCATTACGTTAGTTGTGCATATCTAGCAGCTTACCTAACAATATATGAACATTGTAGTTATTATGTAATACACTGAAACTCTTCCTAATGTAATACGATATATATTTTAAAGTTCTTTTGTTGCTGTTGTTTTGCTATTTAGTTTTAGGTGTAATTTATTTGTATACTGTCAATATTAAGTTGCATTAAGGAAACATATCTATATACAAGTATCACAACTTGTTTCTTGATCCCTGTTTACTTTCAAAAAATTCAATTTTTTATTGTGTCGAAACCAATGGAAATAGAATTTATATTAGGTGATATAGATTTTATAAATAACGACTTACTTTTATAATTAATTACCTTTTAAGTGACATGATTGTTTTTCTTTTAGGTGATAACCATATTTGGGTCGGATGCCTACAGAGTGTTTATCAACACCCAGGTACTAGTGTACCTTCTGTCAATCCCTGTCTTCCTGCTAATCGGAACTGCCTATGTCTACTACCTCATAGGGCTTTGGTGCTTCGTAGCATTTGCAACATTTCTCTTTTTCTACACAATACAGGTAAGGTAGCCACTAAAACATTGCATGTATGTTTACCATTTGGTATTACCTCTTCTGGCGCGCAGTGCCTATGCCATTATGGTATAATATGTCATCCGTCAGTCCGTCAGTGGGGTATTTTCTTTTTCCTTAAAAGACTACTCCTACCTCGACTGAAGAGAGTGTACGACACATTCCTACACCATTTTTTCAGAACATTCCTGAACTAAGGGAATCAGATGTGTTGCCTTAATGCAGGATGTCACCCCATAGAGGTAAAGTGGTCGACCAACTGGGCAAATATACGCGGGAAAATGTTAAAAAGAAAATAGAAAACGTTTAAACGGTTTTGCCTTTTAGAAGCAGATAGATGGAAACCCTTTGACTAGCCACGGTTAGATTTGTATATGAATCATTTCACACAAATATTTGACACAAATTTCAACAATATACGAAAACAAATCATCATACGAGGAATTGTGTCATGATGAAATCAGACACTGGTGTTGCACTAGAAAGTTTTGTTGGTTCTCATTAAGTATTGATATGTAATATTACAACTAACATCAGTAAATCAGTTTGCTTTGAACAGCGGAATACAATCAGTTTGCTATGTATGAGGGAAGTCTGATTTAAAGCAGTAGCTATCACGATAATGACTGGGTATGGATAACGCTGACTTCTGAGTGCAGTAATTCTAACTATTTGTTAACTTGGAAACTATCAACTAAGCAGGGTACTAGTAACACCTGTTATGTATTCACTTTCATAGATAAAGTTGCTAATTAATGAAATTGCAAGTAGGATATTACAACTAACATCAGTAAATCAGTTTGCTTTGAACGGCGGAATACAACCTGTGCATCATGTGAAAAAATCATATACGATACCTTCTATATACATTTCCGGCACTAGATTGATAGTTGCTAATAATATAATATTCCAGCTATCCGAAGTTCTGATCATTTTGATCTGGATTCATTCAATGTAATTAAAACATCCTAAATGTTAACACATTTTTTTTAAAATAAATTTTACATATGAACTGTCCTATTCATATTACCAGAATTGTCATAGTACCAGTTTGTTGTATGTTACATGTATAATCTATTTTCCTGAGGGTCTCTCCTATGAGAATATGGTCAGGAGTCCTCGTTTATTGTAAGCATTAGGACAACAGTGATTTAGTCAGTAGTGTAGTCTAGTGTGTCGTTTTCCTGTCTATTGCATTCCTGCACATAGCATTAGGGTAAATTACTTCCCTCTAGGGAACTCCATAACTGGGGTTTAGAACATTAAACTATACTGGTGAGTTGATTAATTAACTAACTTGATGGATGACACAATCAGTTTGCTATGTATGAGGGAAGTCTGATTAAAGCAGTAGCTATCACGATAATGACTGGGTATGGATATCGCTGACTTCTGAGTGCAGTAATTCTAACTATTTGTTTACTTGGAAACTATCAACTAAGCAGGGTACAAGTAACACCTGTTATGTATTCACTTTCATAGATAAAGTTGCTAATTAATGAAATTGCAAGTAGTATTTAATCATAGTTGATAAACGTTTCATATTGAATGTGTAATTATTACGTTTAGTACGGTAATAGTGTGAATAGGTGATGTACGGTTAGAAACATATTTGGTTCTATATAATTTGTTATGTGCCATTTACATTTTAACTATATTGGCCTACACCTAACTGTTTTATGACAAATCTGGTGATTTGGGAGGGTAATAACATTGTAACAATACTCTTTGTGGCGTCACAACTACCGACAAAATAAATTCTTGGAAAGGCAAAAGAATGGCATTTTTAATTACTTCCTTTTAAAGTTTAAGCATTTCAAATACATTTAACAAAATCAATTTTGATACTTGTAAATCGTAATTTGACAAACGTATTATTCCATGTACATGTAAGTTAAGGGCGCGCGTGTGAATTTAAAAAGATATGCTACTGCGATTGGCAAATTATAACAGCGTCACACACTTAGATAACGTTTACGTTATATTGTCATTTGCAACAATAGTACTTATCGAGCTAAATATACTACTTTCTCTTCCTGTTATGACGTCACGTGTTTAACATCCTATAAAAAACATTATTTATATCCATAAATGCGCTATTATTCTTATATTCTAGAACATTCTGATTGAAATAATGTCTTTTCTCCGACTACGGACGTTAGAATGGACGGATGTAAGGGTAGGTACTGCAATTAGGCTAGTATATGTGGCACATCCTTATAAACGTAGACGAACAAATTATAATCATAAACGTAATCCCTAACATGTAACATGTGATCTGTGTAATTTGAAATGCAATTACAAAGTAGAGCATATGTTCAAGCTAAAACACAATTGAATTTTGACTATACAATCAACATGAAATGCAATGATAAAATACAATGTATAATCTATACAATTCATTATTAAACCTATCTTTATTATGTAGGTAAGGTTAGTTCTCATCCTGAATACTGAACAATCATTTTGTAACTGCTATAAGAACTTAATTATGTAATCGATTGATGTATGATAATCATTGTTCAAGATTTCTGTAAAATCTTAGCTAAATTTTCTTTTGAAAGATACGAAAGATGAGTGAAGTTCTCGCTAGCATGAAATTACTAAAAATGTATGCGTGGGAGGAATCGTTTGAAAATTCAATCAGGGGTAAGTTTACATTTAATCGTCATTTGTACATGGAAACCAATCTTAAGTATTGGTTTACATAACATATTTTGATTGAAACAGGTATGGTAAATACAGAAAACTGGTTTGCTACCTGATTGCGTCATCATTAATACATATCCATACTTTCTTAAATTAACATAACGAACGAAAATGTGTATAGACGAGGGGAAATTCTTAAATAAAGGACAGTTTTACAAGTATGCAAAATGAGAACATAACTTGAGCATGGAAACTGAGAAATTGCAACTGAAGAGCTTAAGCCCTCCTGCGTGAGCACGTCAGGTTATAGTAAATAAACATTGGGTAATAATGTTGTGTCAGGACCTATGCATATTGTCATGACTTTTTCAGAATGATTTAATCCTATAGGGAGTTTTATAAATGATCTTATTATACAGACGTGATCGATAGTTATGGGGAAATCAAACCTATATTTATATTGCCCCTTCAGTGGAAGAAATTATTTCAACCAACAGTTAATTAACAGGTACGTTCCTTTTAAAAGTACCCATTCCGCTAACCTTCGCTCTTTATTCTTATAAACAGGATCAATATGGCATTTCCTATTTTGTTTACCGAGGAAAAGTTATTAACTTTTCGTTAAAACTGCACCCAGCCAGTGAAACGTGTCAAAGATATAATTTTCTTACGTGCAGCAATCGATTCTATATTTTACATAATGTTAAACATGCGCAGACAAGTACGGTGTAATGGCGTTGCCAATGCTAAAACGTGGTTGACAAAGCCGGCAAACAGAATCGGCAAGAAAAATATACTATCTGGAAGCCGACCAACAGCACAATAAAACTAACAGGTACATCGATGAAGTCTTTGACCAATGTACTACGCTTAAGGAGGGAAAGCGTTTGTCCACCAATGAGAGTTTGTACTTGACAGCTGTGGACTGAACCGACTAAGCGTAACACCCGGCACGTTTATTGTGTAAACATTACCCCTGACCCAGTCGAAGAGATAGTCGCTATTCGCTGGTTTCTATTCTCGTGACATCTCATGAATTCGTGTACACATAAAATGACGTAAAAATGTCAATGCTTCTGGTGAGATAAGTAGCCATTTATATAAGTTTAAGTCATTGAGAGATGTATCTTTTCAAAACAGCATACTTATAGTGTTTTTCAAATTCTGTGACTACAATTTTACCCACANCCAACACCCCCAACCCCGCCCCCACCGACAGATTGCGTCAATGTTCCTATAAAGTATTGCCTGGTTTCGTTCAAGAATAAATCATAGAAACATATATGACCATCATTAATATGATTAATATATATCAACAGCTTTCATTCATTATCTCGAATAGGCATTCGGGAAACGGAAACCAGGCCAATGTTACAATCGTCAATATTGAATCTGATTTCCAATGCTATCATGCCAATCACCCCATCGCTTGCCACCGTAGCCACCATAGCCATGTATGTAAACGCAGGAAATAAGCTGACAGCGTCGACGGTAAGTTAATCGTTTTATACTAATAGCCATATTTAATTCGGTTCTGAAAAAAAATATTATTTTGATCTCTAATTATATTGTGGGTCTATTTTTGATTGAGACGTTGGACCTATGACTTTAAGTCCCCTATATCCAAGAAAAATAACGTTATACACGCCCTAAAATTATGATGAAAGGCAGGTGACAATGTCTCTGAAAATGATATTCTTTGACTTTTAATGGAACCCTGAACGAATACGTATGGAAGGTCACGGCAAACCTATTGAACTAATATTACCAATATTGCCGAACTGATAAAAAATGTAAATTTAATCATATATCTTTTTATACGCTGAATGTGTATATTGTTATTGACGCTTTATTAATGTAGAAATACGCTGCAGACAGTAATGAAAGCAATATATGTTCATGATTATTATGTTTATTGCAGGGTTTTTCTATTGTTGCCACACTCGGCTTTCTACGGGGTGGCCTGTTTTATGTTCCGTATGCCGCTCGGATACTTGGAGAAACCATAATCAGTTTTAAAAGAATAAAGGTACACAGTGAAATCTCGTGAACCAAACAAACTATTACATAATCCGATCAAAACAGTTTCGCGAATCCTATAGACATATAATTTATTATTCCTTTCTATTACGTTTTGTGAGTGTGTACTAGGTAACAGTTGATACAAATTAGTACATTTAAGAAGTAAGCAACGTTTACGAGTGTGCGCAAAATAAAACGACATTTAGAAACTGTTGGACAAATAATTAACGAAGGTAGTTTCGGTCAGAGTTAATTACTTCTTTCAACATTTTTTAATCCAAAGCGAATCTAGCTTACTGATTTATATTTCGATTATAGTTTAGTTACTACCTGTTATTTAGTGTTATTAAAATACATAAACTGACAATTGAGTATTTCACTATCCAGGTGAATATCGAATTCACATTATTTCATTTTGTTTTTCTAATATTAAGTGTTTTAATGAAGCATCCCATATCTTACCATCACTGACATGGTCATCACTATGTTTTCCATCACAGCGTTTTATGTTGGAAGAAGAATTCAAGCCGCCGGGTCGAAATATCGAGAGACCGGGGAATGCCATTGAGCTTTGTGAAACGGTGTTCATGTGGGAAAGCGATAACAACAACGAACCACACAACCTTGAGTCTAAAGGTATGTGCATTTATTTTGTTTCCCAATATGTAAGTCGTTTAAAACACTTGAATATCTGAGTCAATAATATATTGCTAGAAGTGTTAGTGATATATCGAAGAGAAATATCTGTCTGATTGGATTACAGTGATTACCTTTGAACAGCTCATTCATTTACGACAAAAATAAACTAATGTTTTGGTTAGATGTTTCTGTGGTCTTGTTTTGTCTAATAACAAATATTGTACTGATGTAGTGACACTTCAGTATCTTCTCTGCTTGCGTTACGATGTGGGTACCTACCACAGGTACTTAGAACTTCATTAATTTGTACGATTTCGTTCACTCTCTTTTAAAAAGTATTGTAACATACTTTATGCATATTACATTTATATAATCTAGAAATGAAGCGTCCCTCGACGAAGGCATCCTCCTTTGTACTACGGAACATCGATATCACAGTCAGTAGGGTAAGAGGAGTTAATTACAAAGCAATAGCCTTTTCTAATTAAAAGTATTTACTGATTCCTTTTTAGGATTGGTAGTGTAAAACTAATCAACACTGCATGCCTCAATGAACAACATCTATGCTTATTAACATGGTATGCACTGATGTTATTAATCTTGTATCCTATCAGCAACATCATCCTCAAACGTTGCATCTCTTCAACCGACACCTGTCTTCTCCTAATGTAATACCATATCGAGTAAACCAACCACTTCAAAAAAGTATTCACTCTGTTATAGAAAACATGTTAAAACTGAAACATATTTTGGTAAGATTTGTGTACAAATTTAACTACAGTTCTTATAGAAAAAATAGCTAAACTAAAACATGTAAGATGTTAACCAAACATGTAAGATGTTAACCAAACATGAAAAATTTGCTAATATAAAATGACCAGCTCCTATACAATGTTATCTTTAACGATTAAAACAATTTCGATGGATTATGCTCTAAATATACTTTCTTGTTAAGACAATGACAATTTCCCTTTGTCGGTAATCACGACCGTTTTACGACACTTTCTTTTGTATATTTAAACGTAGGGGAAGCATATTGGAGTATGTGGTACTGTCGGCTGTGGGAAGTCGTCTCTGATGCAAGCGATGATTGGAAGGGTAAGTTATTACTGCAAAAACAATCGACATTACAAATTTTAAAGAGGTTTCTATGTAACTTCAAATCATGTAAATGTGTGTAAGACTGTAAGAGTAATTCCTGATTGTATTCTACGAACTTTGACACCATTCATTGGTTAATGACCATTAGTTATTGGACGATAGACCGTGCGTGTTCGTTTATTTAAACCTCCCCCGCAAATGTGCTGATAACAAACTAGTCGCGGGACTAGTTTAACGTATCGAATGAGTGTACTCGTATTTAATTTGGTATATATTTGAAGATAAGCTAGCGGACAAAACAAAATATTTAGTCTCTACATCTTCTTTAAACCTGTCAAGCCTACGGTCAGGATGAGGACCGCGAAGCTGACCTGAAACAGTGTTTGTAAATCTGTCTAATGCTGATTTCATGACAAGCAATGCAGATACATCGGTGGATTGGATTGTTTGAAATAGACGTCAAGCATAAAGCATGACTCCAGTGTTAATTGTTTATCGTCCGTCCACTCAATGGCGGCGACTGAAAACGGAAAACCCTTCCCAAATTATAAAGACAAAACAGGACAAATACCTTCAGGGTCGAAAGTGATCGAAATGTGCAGACTCTTGTGGAAAGAAGACTTAAAGGCTACGCATGACAATTGCTATTGCTAGCAAACGAACAGATAAAGCAATGTTTTTTAAAAGATAAATTGAGAATATCAAATGGGTTATGAAACTTAACTGCAATTGTCTGTACTGATCACAAACAAAATTATCATTTGATTTGCTCTTCACCATCGATCTTTCCCTATTAAAAAAAACCAATCAATAAAAAAATTCGAATAAAAATGACTTCCTCGGAATCTGTTTTACTCCAGATGGCGCTGATTACCGGACATTTAGCTGTGGATGGTACAGTGGCGTACGCGGCACAACAGGCCTGGATATTCAACGGATCATTGATGGAAAACATCCTGTTCGGAAACCCGTATAAACAGGACTGGTAAACAATGGATGTTAAAAATTCTGCTTTTGTTATTTGTTGATATGTTTTCTGTTCTCCACAAAGTCTTATTAATATTATGTTTGTCCGATTTAGTTTTAAACAAAATTTCACAGTTTCACGTGGAGATCATATGAATGTAATGAATCGTTCGTCGGTATCATATGTTCAGCTGTTTATCTCATTTCAATTTGACACATATACAAAGTACAAACAAGTTCAATGTGAAAAGGTAAACAAAATGACTTTATATGATAAACAGTTTCATTACAGTTGTTTTTAAATCATGATTAAGTTGCAGTGCAATGAATTGCCTCAGTCGCCTCGAGTCGATTTCCCACTATTTGTAGCACACCGAAATGTAAACGCTGATAAACCACTTGGAACAGCGACTGTTTTTATGCAGTAGAAAATGTCTAATAATTTCTTTTAATATATTTTAATATATTTTAGGTATATAAAGGTTTTAGACGCATGCAACTTGGAACCTGATCTCCGACAATTGCCCAATGGTGACGCTACTGAGGTATCATTAGGATAAATAATTTTATTCTAATTATTACTGCAACATTAAAATTAAACGGTCTAATACCGATAAGGAAACATATATTTTACATTCTAAAGAGTTGTATCTCAATTTAAACCGATTAAAACAAGGTGCATTATGAAATAAATGTCTTCGGAGTACAAGTATTTTTGTATGTGCAGCTTAGTAGCGTAGCTGCGTATTTCTCGAGATTACGATCAAGGAAAATATTAATACAAAAATGAACTCAATAATGTAAAACGTCATTAGAAATATTCATAAATAGGTCATGGGAAAGTTATTGAAGTCAAGAACAAATAAATATGAAGACAGGAGACTGTTCAGGTTTGGAAGTATACATGATTATTTTGAACTAGCACAGTTATATTAATTTTCATCTTTCTATCTGATCACTTGGCATTGTAGGAACAGCTAAGTCATAAGTCAAACGTAAGGGTACGTGTTATAATTAATACAACAAAACTTTGCTGGCATATTTATATCGCAAATGGAAAAATATTCTCTACCACATCATTAGCAATTGTTAGAAATTTAAGGACAACATTGAAACAAAAGGTCGCTAGAAAACAAGAAATCGAAACAATGGAAACAATGGAAACAACATAAATAGGGTAGACAACAACGTAAAAATGGTAGGCAACAAAAGACAACAATACAGATAGGGAAGACAACAAATCACAACGATTTTAAAAAGGTAGACAACAAAAGACAAACACTTAAATAGAGTAGACAACATATAAAATAACAGCAAGAGCTGAATTCTGGAGGATTAATAGTGTGACCCTGATAAACGTCAACAGTATCAAATGCAACATCAGTCGTAATATCTCTCGTAATATTCAAGTGAGTTGGTAAGAAAGATTTTAAACATTGTGAACTCGTGTTTAAACATGACAGACACTGACTTGTAAGTAAACCCATTGTACTTCTTGAAACTTTTCTTGTTTAAGATTGGCGACAAAGGAATAAATCTTAGCGGCGGTCAGAAACAGCGCGTGAGTCTTGCACGTGCTGTCTATAGTCAAAGCGACATATATCTCCTTGACGACCCGCTGTCTGCCGTTGACGTCCATGTCGGGCAACACCTGTTCCACAAATGCATTGATAAAGTTTTGAAGGATAAAACCGTTGTTTTGGTGACTCACCAACTACAGGTAAACATAAACAATCACTTTGAATATTGTAAACAGTCTTACAAGAAGCAAAACCCCCCCAAAAAACTAGGTCAGTGATACATAACAGCGTAACCTTGGATTCTCTCGATTGTACGTTGAGTCGAACACAGCAAGGATAACAATTTCAGGATTTGTGACGTGTTTTGATTATGTCTATACAATATCATATCGCATGAAACAAAGGGAAAACGGCATCTTGACCAGTGATTCAGAAGGTGTTCAAAGTATCCGAATTATTCGGTTATTGCGAAATCGCCAAACAGTCATGTCATTTGAAAATGAAATACTGTACAGTAGACTTGTATATATATATATTTGAATTATACAAGGTTATCATTATTGAGTGAAATATATCACAGACGTGTTATATAGTTTACAAAATAAAATGAAAAACACGATTGTTTAAAGCCAAAAGCATGCTTCATTAATTATATTTGATAATAAAGTAGATAAACATTATTTCAAAATGTTATCGACTAAACCGCGTTGCTGAATTTTTGTTTTTTGTTTTAGGGAATTTCCGTTTATGTATCATTATCTCATGACTAAACTTTGAAGGAAAATACATTAACTGAAGATAAAATGACTTTTTTTCACAAAAACAAATCATTTGCAGATAAAATAAGGAGAATGAAAAGGCAGAGGAAATAGGAAAATTTCAAATATGCATTAATACTACACTAGGACAATCTGTGTTAACTATTTCCATGATTGTGTAATGTTTTTTCATTGTACAGTATTTAAAACAATGCGATGACATTTACGTAATGGATGATGGTAAAATAGCGCAACACGGAACCCACGAGTCGTTGTTGGCCGATAACGGACACTACACAAAGCTGATGGAACAGTTCAATTCCAAGATGGACTATACTAGTGTGATAGGTATTGGATTCTTGTTCTTGGTCGCTTGCCCCCCTTTCCCGAGTAATAACATACTAGCCTTTGCTAGATTGTACAATCACCACTTTTGGGGTCTGGCCCAAGTATCCGACTTTTCTATGGAGATTCATCCTCCTGACTAAATATCTACTCAGACAGGATTCTCTGTCATGCTGGGCCCCAATTTACACTGAGAACAATTTTACGGTCGTCATCATGAGATTACTGAGAAACATCTCTGTCTTCAAATATTTGAGCCAGTGTGTTGATTCGTTGATGGTTTGTGACCGACATACCTCCCATAAGTCGACGAATGCACTAGTGATAGATGGAATGCTAGCCCCGGATTTGACTTGTTTGCTAGAAAAAACCATGTCATATTCCGAAAAAAAGATTTTTAGATACATAGATGGACTAGGTTTGTTTTTGTTACATAAATAGACTAACAACTATGCCTATTATCTTATTCCTGTCATAAAATTAATGTTAAGGATATTATAAGAATTATGTAGGTACATTGAATTATAATTATCATATTTGTAGATAAAATATTCCAAGCGATATAACTGTAAAACAATGTGGACTGGGACTAAGTAAGTTAAATACAATTAGTTTACTTTTGCTGATGATTGAAAAAAACATACAGTATGATCCCTGTTGAAACAAATTATTTATATAGAAAAAGTCAAAACGTTTAAGAAGTGAATACTTTTTAGCTTCGTTTATGTTGTATTTTAAATTATTTTTTTATTTGATAAAGAATATACACAAATCTTGATGTTTTGATTTTCACGGTACAGACGATGAACATCTAGCGGAATCTAACGAAGATCTAGAATCGGTTGAATTTCCGACAAATGAGCAACAGATCGATTCTTCAGTATCCGTCAGCTGTGACGATAATTATGAAAAAGGTTCGTACGGTGGTGTGTGCTTTACATGTATCTGTGCTCTGGTTTCAAAGATGTCCTGTAGTATTAAACATGTTTAATGTGCCACAAAAGAGGTAGTTTCCGCTATTAATGTAATTTACGATAATATAACTAATAGTCAACCAGACAGCCGTATTCATGAAATCGTTCTCATGCTCAAAGATCTCGTGCTTAAAACAACCCCACTTTCTTGTTGCTAGCTTAAATCATATGACACAATCAAGTGTTAACGTTGGAAACGGTATTCAGCTTTAAGTCTCTCCAAACTATTTCCAAATTATTCAAATGTGATTTTGTATGTATCCATCATCGGAACAACCATTTTGGTTTGGGCACAGAATATGAGTTTGAGCATGAAAACGGTGAGGTAAGGTCCTTGATTTGACGGGATCCAAATATATGTGATGCATACATTGCAGGAAATTATCATCCTTAACAACTGTTATCGCCTCCAGCGACTGATGGAATTCCGCTTAGTTTGGTGTCTCATAAATTAGTCTGTCTTACAGTCTTTGAGATGTCATATTGTCCAAGTGATCGTTTTTGTTGTTGTTTCAATTTTGATAAAAGCCTATACTACCATAACGAGTTCATAGACAGATAGTTTACAACTGAGGTGTTCCTGCAGAACTGTGCCGCTGTATGGTACATTTGTATGTGTAAAAATTTACACTGCAAAAAATATGCTAATATTTCTTTTAATTTTCTTTTTCAATTCATTTCTAATGAGTTGACTTTTATGAAGAAAATGATCGAATAAAATGCAAATGCTATATAATTAAAATTTCCAATATTCAATTGATATTTTTTTGATCATCGCAGGTATACTTACAATCGGAGAGACGTCAAAAGCTGGCGAAATAAGTATGGAAGCATACATGAGCTACGTTCGTGCAGCAGGAGGCAAGATAGTGGCAGTTGGTGTGTTCCTGCTGTATGTTTGTTCCATTTCTTCAGTCACGTTCAGTGACTGGTGGCTTGGACTTTGGATTGAACAGACAGTAGGTTTCAAGAGATGATATGTAGTCGTAACAACTAAAAGGATGATATTGGGATTGTGTTTCTAGGACTGTTGAGGTTTGAATAATTTCATATGAGTACTACATTGTATCACTGCCAATACAAGTGGTCGGGTTGGGCAGTGGATAACGCACTCGCTTTCACCAAGGCGATCGGGGTTCAAGTCCACGTCGGATGTAGTGAAAAGGTTTGGAGTCATCTGCCCGACAATGTTGGCTTTCACTGGGTACTCCGGATTTCTCCCACAATAAGACCCAGCGCGGTAATATGCGGGCAAACAAAAGTGGTTACTATATTTTGACCTATTTGTATTGACTAAACCACCCACTTACCTTGGTTTTTACTTACAAGCTGTCCCTCAGGGAAGGATTGCTACAAAGTTGTATGGTAATCCTAACAATTTCGATTTTCCTATCGTAAACCTTCGATTTAAAAAAAAATAACAATCCTACTTCCCCATCTAATGTGTTCAAATGTCACAGTTGATGATATACGAGCTTGCTGACGGACAACGTTACAGCAACAGGAATTCAAGAATTGCTCAAATATCGCAGCTTTTGAGATTATATTTTCTTCATTTTAAACTGCTATCAATACTACACGTACGTTTACTTTATAAATGGTGAATTATTTATCACAATTTGTTAATATCAAAATATCGTTATCGTTATTTTCGATCGATCTAATAAACATGCTATCGTTGTTTAATAATTAATAAAAACATATTAATGATGATTGAAATTGCTGTATTTTTCCTTCAATAGCTGGTATTAAATCAATCAATCAATGTTTGCAGAATACCAGAGGGAAAGTTACACTTCCTTCCGAATCCAATGCAAAAGACACACATGTCTCAGTTATTGAGACTGCCACCACGTACACAGTTAAAATAACAAACACAACGCCCTCCTTGGAGATAGAGGAAATAGAAGGAACGGATTGGTACATGGCCATTTATGTTTATACAACAGTAGTGATAACCGGACTAGCTGTACTGAAAGGATGGGTAGCAGGTGTGGTAAGTTATGGCTAAGTATATATCGACGATAAGATATTTAAGAAAATGTTTTCAAATTGAATACAAAAAATATAAACATTACCTTCGAGTAAGGTTTTGTCTGCCTTTGTTGGTCGATACTTTACCGAACGGTCAAATCTGAATGTTTCTTTGACACTTTTTGCATTTTATGTTTTATTCCTAATTTTCAATTCATTTTGACATCACATAGTCCATGTTTTAGTGAAGGGGCGGCAACTAGTATGCATCATGTTGTTTTTCAGGCAATAATTCCAAAATATTTTGTCATGAGAAATCAATTCCAAATTATAATGTTTGTTTTACACTTGTATGACCTAGAATGACATCTCAAAAATAAACAGGACAACATTTCATGAAACATCCTATATGTTAAGTAGGTGATGACAAAGGCTGCAGTAAACCTACACAACACGGCCGTAGGGAGAGTGATAAGTGCCCCTTTGCAATTCTTTGACGCAAATCCACCGGGTAGACTACTTAACCGATTCTCGCGAGACGTAGAGGATGGTTAGTGTATTTGGCAGAATATAAGCGATTTTGGTTCTGATATTTGTAAAAAATGTTTTTTTCATTACTTGTGTCGGTTTTGTTTTCATTAATATACATTTTTTCTTCACCCTCCCATTGCAATGCATTGTGAAGGCAAATGTTGTTATAAACTATAACAACATTTGGTATTTTAACGTCATTAATATTTATTGTGACGTCATTAGTTTCATTGTTGTCAAACATTAATTAACTGTTCAAAGAACTATTCGAAATAACTAAATAAAGCATAACTACTCTTTCAAAATGTAAATATAAATAATGAATATTTTAGCAGATATTGTTATGTTCCTATAACACACATTGCTATTGCTGAAAATCTTATATAATGCCCTGCCTGGCTTTATTAAGTTTGTCATCAATAGCAGTGTGTGTTATAGGACCATTACAACATTTGTTAAAACATCCATTGCTTAAATTAATGGAAAGCTAATGTAAAATCGAAGAAGATTATGTTTTGTCATAATGGTCGACCTGGTCTTAACGTTATCGGTAAAAAATACTCTAAACTGAATAACCAATAAATTGAGCTCATCATCCACTGTCTATGATAATAGAAAGCTATAAATGTATCTGTGCAAAATCTAAATGACACTGAAGATTGCTTTTAACAAGCTCAAGACTTATTTTTCCAATATGATTTAGTTACACACCAATATATGCAATATTTAGGACATACATCATTTAAATGTACAGGAACAAGTGTCTAATATATGCTGCCGTTTTTGTTACAGCCGATGTATACATTCCTCACATGATGGATAATCTTCTTCAAGTACTGCTCTTGTTGGCTGCGTCCCTTGTCACTACAGCCTACAATTTCCCTTTGTTCCTCATCGCAGTCGTTCCAATCGGATGTTACTTCTTTGTTATCAAAACCCTTGCATCGATCCCAATCATTAATTCCAAACGACTTGAAAACGTGTTAAGGTCGCCACTGATAAGTCACGTGACCACTTCATGCAGCGGACTGAATACAATTGTTTCTTACGCTCAGGAAAACAACTTCATCAAAGGGTAAGTTACAGAGTCGACTATTCTATTCATTTATACTTTTATCACAACAATGTGACAAATCCAACCGCTGAAATTGAGTAAAACCCTATTTTCGTATATATTTTTTACCCCACTTTGATACTTAAATGTATTTCTTTTCTATATGTTACAGCTTTGCTAGTGCCATATTGAATTATATCAAATGGAAAAAAGTTATATGTATCCCACTGTGGTAGATTTTGGCTTAGAGTGAAAATATCACGTTTTGTATTAAACAGTGGAAACGGTTCTTACAATTTTTTGGCAAGCGTGACGTTATTAGAATATGGCGCTAAAGATTACGCTAGCAAATTCCACAACCTGTTTTGAACTGAATATTGAATACCAATATTTTCACTTGTACCTCGCACTCGTGAAAAATATCCGCATTCTGTATGTCACATTCGTGAAATAAAAGGAAACTATTAAGTGTCCCATATTTCGTCAAAATAATGTTATTAGTTAACCTAAAGAGTGCAGTTCGCAAGCGTGTGTTCTAATGTCACGCAGTTTTGTCGAGACGATAATGGATAAAATAGAACATTACATTATCAGTTAGATATATTGTAGCTCAAGTAAAATATATAATAACGCTATTTTAAGACGGACTGAACAGTTAAAACATCAGGTCACTATATCTCTAAAAGTATCTCTCCATTACAGATGTCAACAATACACAGACATGACCACAGTTGGAATGCTCCTGTTTGATTCAAGCATGAGGTGGATGGGCTTGCGATTGGACATTGGGGGTTCTGTGATTGCAATTATTACAACGATCGTTGTGCTGTCCACCAAGGACGTCATATCTCCTGTTCTGGCAGCTTTGTCTCTGACCATGTGTATTAACGTAGGTGTAGCTATACACATAACCGGCTACGTATTATATGATCATTGAAAATACGTAGCAAGTAAAACGTTTGAAAATTATTATTTACAATTATACACTTTCTTTCCAATATATAATTATCGTTAAATTAAATGGCCGGTTCACAAAACTTACAAGACTTGTATCATAATCTCGAAAATGCTATTTTGACATCTTTCTTGATTATTTGGTTTTAGGTGACATCGCTTATCCAGTTCTTCAGCCGTACGATAAATGAAGTGGAAGCCAGATTTTCAGCCATTGAACGTCTAAATGAGTATGAGGTACACATAAATAAACACAGGAGGCTGTTATCATATTATATCAGCTGTACAGATTATATACGTACGTTAGTAGTGTATGTATATTGAGGGGATTGAAATAAAATGTTCTCCCTTTCCCCCTCCTTTTTTATTTTTTTTTAAAATATCAATTACATAGTTATCATATTATGTATGAATAGCATGTTTTAAGAAAAAAGTACAAATTCGATATATATCCTAATTTATTGGAACCAATTATTTATACAAAGTGTCAGTTCAAGATTCTTTTCTGTTGATCAATTGTTGCATTTTCTTTTCAAATAATACTTTTTACTTGATTCACAGAAAACCACTTAATATGATTTTCAGAATCTTGAAATAGAAAAAGAGACTGGGAGTTTGCAAGTAAACGAAAAATGGCCAAGTGAAGGGAGAATAATGTTTTCTAATGTGGAGATGAAATATCGCATTGACATGGATCCCGTACTCAAAAACATCAGCTTCGATATTCTTTCCAAGCAAAAAGTTGGCATAGTCGGCCGCACAGGAGCAGGTAATAGAAGTAAGGTTGATACGTGGTTGTTGCGGATAGAACGGAAGCTGAAAGACTCTTGGGGGAAAATTGATTGCGACTTTTTCCATAACTTTGAAACTTAACTCAGCTTGAAAGTTTGTAGATATACATGTAACATATACCCAGATTATCTTTTGACCCGCAACGTAGTTTTTAAAAACGACAAAGGACAAAACTCTTTTATGAAAAGTTAATTTCCTTGAAATATGATTTACCATAAAAACATGTTATTGGTATTGAATTAAAATCAAGTAAAAACATTTGATAACCCTATGCCTTATTGTCTAATCATGTTGTCTTTTTATAAAAAATAAAAATAGGGAAATCATCCTTGGCCGCTGCGCTGTTTAGATTGACTGATCTATCGGAAGGTCACGTGTTCATTGATGACGTCGAAATTGGAAGTGTATCTCGGAAATTACTACGTTCAAATTTGTCCTCCATTCCGCAGGACCCGGTTCTTTTTGCTGGTTCACTAAGGCAAGTATGTTTATTCGATATATCTGAACCTTGTTTTCTTTGGAGTAGATGTAATATAATTACTAAACGGTCCCTGTATTTTGTAATACGTTAACATAGTTTGAGTACTTCAGTTGTTTTATCTGAGGATTTCAATCAGTGATGCAGGACTGTCCGTACGGCATTATGATTCCGGTAGCAGTTACGACATTTCATTGTGTGCCATGATTCGAGACCTGCTTAAGCAAACTAAATAGGGAAACTCTAATAAAAGTATATTTTGCACTCATTCGACCTCTTCTAGTATAAGCTAATGTAATTTTTTATTTTTCGTTAATTAAAAAAGTGTAATCAATTGAAAGTAGCAAGAATTAGAACAACACTCAAAAGAGGGACACCATACCATATCTTAACTTATCAAGAATTAGAACAACACTCAAAAGAGGGACACCATACCATATCTTAACTAAGCAAGAATTAGAACAACATTCAAAAGAGGAACACCATACCATATCTTAACTAAGCAAGAATTAGAACAACACTCAAAAGAGGGACACCATACCATATCTTAACTAAGCAAGAATTAAGATGGGGTCATTAGGAGTGTGACATCATTATTATTAATACACGTGTTCCTTTGTACTTGGCTAAAATAGTTAATCCTTTTATCATCTTTTATGATACTAATATGTATCCCCTGTGTAAAATAGATTATCTTTCCCTCCATTCTGTAAATCCAATAACTACTATAATACGTTCTTTTCGGCAATGTTTCAAGTGTTCAGTACGCTTTGTCTTATACATTGCACTAGCCTCTATTAAAACATTATTAAAAAACAAAAACAAAATACACTTTGTAACACATCAAATGAAATTAAAGAGGACGCAAAGGAAGATGAGGTTATTTTATAGGCATTCAAACAAAAAGGAAAAGGGATCAAAACGGCAACATAATACTTTTTCAGCTTTAAAAAGGGTGTGGAAGTTTATGTATTGCCCAGCATGTTGATAACTTGAAGAAACCCCTTTTTGTGCGTGATATTCGTTAATGAACCAAATTTTGAATTCGCTATATATATAAGTACCTAATAGTATTAGCATGTGGAAACTTGGAATAGCCAGACATATTACCAATCTAGAATAAATTACGTCTGTATCATTGTATTGGGATATTGATCTCTTAATTTTTTGCTACGCTCAAACACTGGACCGTGAATGTACTGAGGCTATTTAAACCGTATAATGTTTTAACACCACAGGTATAATTTGGATCCATTTAATCACTATTCAGATGACAAGATATGGGCCGCCCTGGAACAGGTCCATATGAAGGAAAAGGTGAGGTTCAATCTTCATATTTCTTACACGTTTTAAATTATATACATACTAAGCTAATGTTTATATACAGAATATGTACTGTGCATCTAGTTACTTAATGCAAAATATTTATGAAAAGATGTAAAAAAATGGGACAAATGCGTTTCAATTGTATTGTTTTCTATGGCAGTATTCTCTACAAAAGCAACGTATAAATATAGTACCGTGTATAATTGTGAAGGCAAACAACCTTCAGTAAAAAAAACCACACTAAGTTATCCATTATGTATTTCTACCTATTGTTAACAATTTCAAAAGTATAACGGTGATAATTTTCAATTTAGATAAAACTTCTTGACCAGACTCTTGACTTATACATCGCGGAAAATGGAGAAAACTTTTCTGTTGGCGAACGACAACTTATTTGTTTGGCACGTGCAATTTTACGTGAAAACAAGGTAAGAGACCGTTTAAGGAAATCAACAATGCAAAAGTAAATATACTTCTAGAAGCAGTTCAGAAAAAGAAGAAAAGCAAAAGGACATGAAACACGATTGATGTATTTACTTTCATCGCATTGATTACAAGACAACCAGAGAGCGTATTATTGGATATCAGTTATAGTACTTATATCTTTATTTTATCTTTATTTTTGCGTTAATTCATATCTCAAATTCAATCAACATGTGCTAAACATGAGTAATTTAGAGAAACTTACTGTTATGGAACCCCACTTTTTCTGTGGGTGTTGCTAAGTGACTACACCAAATTGATTAAGTAAAAATAAATGCAACCAAATTGTGTAGTTTTACTAGGGTATCTTATTTTTATCTATCTCCTTGGTTTCTTTGTATTGATTATGAAATATTCAAATGCATTTCAGATCCTGGTTTTGGACGAAGCCACGGCGTCCATCGATACTGCCACAGACGCCATGATCCAGGAAACAGTCCGGGACAGCTTCTCCGACTGTACCGTCCTTACTATCGCCCACAGACTACACACTGTCTTACACTGTGACGTCATACTCGTTATGGATGCCGGACGAGTACTAGAAATGGGCAATCCACAGGACTTGTTACAGAGTCCTTGCTCGCATTTCAATAAAATGATTCGCGCGCAAACTGTACTGTCACCGGACGCTTAGCATTCATCTTAAAGAGGTGTTTTGGGTTTATTGTATGTGAAAACAAATTGTAACTTTTGGAATATTAATCAAAATTTGGTTTAAATAGTGTCCTTCAATTGTTGCAAGGAAACGTGAATGTGTTGTAACTGTAAGTCATTTCTCAAAAACAAGGGAGCATGGGCTCGATTTTGTGATTCCTACATTTTATTATCAACTTAATTAGGGTGACACATATATATAAACATTTCAGTCAAGCTTCAAATTTGTTATTATCATCTGTTACAATTTATAAAATAATGAAATAACAAATACAAACACATCGTAAAATTATCAGAACACTTTTGTACTACGTAAAGAAATCCTTATTCATCAAAAAAGTTTAATTTTCTGGTCAAATCAATTTTTGAAACCTACCGATACACACTTAACATTGAAAAAGGAATTAATAATGTACATTGGTTTTTTAAAATAGAAATACCAGGTCAATAAAATACGTAGGTTTTGTTATAATACTCGGTATACCCATACTATATTTAATTACATAAAATATTCGTGAATCTATTTAGCTGTGTGGGTACCTGTAAAGTAAATAAGAAACGCAATAAGCCTTTGACCTACATGTAGTTACCCCAAATCAATTAGCTTTTTCACCTTCCCAACGGGCATCATATACTATTCATTCAAAATTGGCGTACATCGAGTTAGTTTTCCGAAGTTATCATCCGAAAAAATCCGCATTTTTTGTGTCAATCTATAGCTATTAATAGCTGCTATGAACATTCAGGGGAGAATAAAACACAAGTTATTGTCTTCACAGCCAATTGATTACACGAGGAAATTTAATTTGCCGCAAAATTGCCGGAGAAAATGGTGAAGAAATTACAAAAAGAATAAAGTTTTTATCGTCATTCATACCCAAAATCGAGTTAACACGGAACAAACGACAGTGATTAACTATTCCACTTGCCTATACACAGCTTCTGCACTCCTCTTAGTTGGGGATCTTGCGATGTGTTTCTGCAACTGATTTTTTTTATATAAAAACAAAAGTGGTAGGGGGGAATTTTGGAATCGTTTAAGCTAAGTTTTAAAATGTATTATGCTGAAATGTATTACCTCGATGAAGAGATCACTATAAATGCTCAAAATTCGTATCCTATCTTAAAGAGTGGGAAGTACGACCCATGGGCCAAGTGGAATAAATGTAACTTTGCTCAAGAAAATTGATGTTTTAAATTTTCTTCCAAGTAACACACCGGCCAAGTCATTATGCTTTACCAACAGTTCCAGTCGATGTACAGCAGGACGACCAAGAAGATATACCCGACATATGTCCCAAATCTTTATCGCTCCATGCAAAGAATAAAAATCGGCACTGCCGAAGTCAAACATTTGTTGGAGGAAATCGTCATGTTTGACTACATGTCCTAATAGGTTATCTATTACCTGTCTGAAACAGGTCACATTGATCAGAGATATCTTCACATCTAACCAGATGTCGCCTCCGCTACCATACAGGCCTGTCTCGCTCACCTCCTTACCATGCAAGGTCATGGATCACATGTACCATTCACAGCACAGTATGGACAACCTTTACAAGAATCAGATCCTGGAAGGAGAGCAACTTCTGTACAAGACGAACCTGCACACAATTTCTCGTTACTTGACGCCTTTCTACGTAACCAGTACCAGGCTACCCCGAGTTTCCTCTGGCCCTGACACCAGATTTTAGACATTTTATTTTTATTTTTTACAGATATATGTTTGGTGTGATGGCCCCACACCAGACATCTAAATGTCAACATGTCTAAAGTCTTGTATCAGGGCCAGAGGAAACTCGGGCTAACCACACATATCTGTCAAAATGTCTAGAGTCGTGTGTCAGGGCCAGAGGGAACTCGGGCTAACACAAAGGCTTCCGACATATGATATACCAAATATATCGTACTACTACATGTTTGGAGTGACCCTGAATATCCATTTCCATTTCCCTAAGATCTTGGAGACCAGTGTCCATTTCCCTTTCCCTTTGATCTGGGAGATCTGAGTCTCCATTTCCTTTTACCTAAGATCTGGCAGACCAGAATGTCCATTTCCTTACGATTTTTCTTCTATTTGTCGATTTCCTTTTCCACCGAACGTCTATTTCAACCGCACTACCCCACCACCCCACGAGTGTCCGTTTTTCCCCCGCTGATCGCCCATTGTCTTTTCCTCTTCCTGGATGCCTGTATTTTTCTTAGTCGCCATTTTCCGTCTACATCTGATGTGTGTCTGGGCAATCAGTTCTGTCTACTGGTAAATCCTATTTCATTGACATTTTCCTTGATTCATTTCGCTCCTTCTCTTAGGTCTTAATCCCTTCTCCTTCTATAACATTTTATAATTGTATCTTGGTATATGTCTGTTGTGTCACCACTTTTAACGGTCATTAAATACATTGTATCATTTTGCATAAAATGGGAATATTTATCATATTGTAGTTTGTTGTGAACAAATACGTTATTTCATTCAATCCATGACAAACTGGTTAAATACGTTTTTTACATGATGTCTGTAATGTTTCTATTACCATGTTAGTTGGAGGGTATATATGGCAAGCCAACTTAACATTTATTCAAGGAGCAATGTCGATCCTGTATTTCATCGAATTATATAAGATATCTTATATAGCATATGGGATATCGTATATACTATATAAGATATCTTATATCGTATATAAGATATCTTATATAGTATATGAGATATCTTATATTATATATAAAATATCTTATATACTAAATGAGATATCTTATATAGAAATTAAATGAGATGCTATATAAGATATCTTATATAATATATAAGATATGTTATATACTATATGAGATATCTTATATACGATATAAGATATCGTATATATCATATAAGAAATCTTATATAGCATCTCATTTAATTTCTATATAAGATATCTCATTTAGTATATAAGATATTTTATATATAATATAAGATATCTCATATACTATATAAGATATCTTATATCTTATATAAGATATCTTATATAGCTATATGAGATTTCTTATATATTATATAAGATATCTTATATATAATATAAGATATCTCATATACTATATAAGGTATCTTATATACGATATAAGATATCTTCTATATCCTATAAGATATCTTATATAGCATATGGGATATCTTATATCGTATATAAGATATCTCATTTAATTTTCTATATAAGATATCTCATTTAGTATGTAAGATATTTTATATATAATATAAGATATCTCATATACTATATAAGATATCTTATATACGATTTAAGATATCTTATATAGTATATATGATATTTTATATACTTATATAAGATATCTCATTTAATTTTCTATATAAGATATCTTATATACGATTTAAGATATCTTATATAGTATATAAGATATTTCATATGCTATATAAGATATATTATATAGCATATGAAATATCTTATATACTATATAAGATATCTTATATACGATATAAGATATCTCATATAGTATATGAGATATCTTATATTATATATAAGATATCTTATATAAGATATAAGATATCTTATATAGTATATAAGATATTTCATATGCTATATAAGATATATTATACTTTTTTTTGAAATACACTATCGACATTGCTCCTTGAATAAATGTTAAGTTGGCTTGCCATATTTTCCGTCTACATCTGATGCGTGTCTGGGCAATCAGTTCTGTCTTCTGGTAAAGCCTATTTCATTGACATTTTCCTTGATTCATTTCGCTCCTTCTCTTAGGTCTTGATCCATTCTCCTTCTATAAAATTTTATAATTATATCTTGGTATATGTCTGTTGCATAAAATGGGAATATTTATCATATTGTAGTTTGTTGTGAACAAATACGTTATTTCATTCAATCCATGACAAACTGGTTAAATACGTTTTTTACATGATGTTTGTAATGTTTCTATTACCATGTTAGTTGGAGGGTACATCCTTTTCTAACAATAATGCAAGATATGCACCACATCTTGTGAATTGCTTATTGTTTTTTTACATTCTCTTCAATTTAACAAAATGACAATTTTTTTATGTTACATATATAGCTTTGACTCTGGTGTTACAAATCTCAGTCTACAAAATGTATGGTGTTACCATTGCTGTCTTTGGTGTTAACGTTATTATATATATCTTAATTAAATTTTGGTGCATGTTTATCAGATGATTTCAATTCCATATGCACAATCATCACCAACTTTTAAAATCATAGATGGATACTTATAAAGCTATGCGTCTTGGCTATTAATCATTTAAAAGACACGTTGTTGGCTTAAATGTTCAATACAACTTATTATACCACCGCAACGAAGTTATGGGAGGGGGGGGGGGGGGGGGGGGGGGGGGGGATATACTAGCTGGAACCAGTATATCTGTCTGTCCGTCCGTCCGTCTGTTTGTCTGTCCCTAAAAAAAAATGTCCGGACAACTCCTTCTAAAGTGATGGACCAGGTTCAACGAAACTTTCCAGATATGATAACTTCCACCTGAAGTTGTGCATCCAGGTATTATTTTATTTATTTTGATCGTTTTTGATGAAGTTATATGGCCCTTTGTTAAACAAATCCTGAAACTTTTTGTCCGGACAACTTCTTCTAAAGTGATGGACCAATTTCAAAGAAACTTTCCAGATATGATAACTTCCACCTGAAGTTGTGCATCCAGGTACTCTTTTTCATTCTGACCCCTTTTTCGACAAAGTTATGACCCTTTGTTGAAAAATCCTTGTCCGGACAACTCCTCCAAAACTACGGGACCAATTTCAACAAAAATTTCCAGATATGATAAATACCACCTGAAGTTGTGCATCCAGCATTATTATTTTCATTTTGAGCCTTCTTTTTTTTACAAAGTTATGGCCCTTTGTTGAAAAATCCTTATCCGGACAACTCCAAAACTACGGGGCCAACACCTGAAGTTGTACATCCAAGCATTCTTTTTTTTCATTTTGAGCCTTCTCTTTTTTCTCCAAAATTATGGCCCTTTGTTGAAAAGTCTTTGTTCGGACAATTCCTCTATAACTACAGGGCTAATTTCAATGAAAGTTTTCAGTTATAATAGCTACCAGCTAAAACGCTTGCCCCGACAACTTCTCCAAAATTACTGGGCCAATTTCAATGAAAGTTTTCAGATATGATAACTGCCACCTGATATTGTGCATCCAGGTATCATTTGTTCAATCCGACCTTTTTTACGGAGTAATGACGCTTTGTTGAAAAATATTTGTCCAGACAACTACTCCAAAACTATGGGGCCAGTTTCAACGGAAGATTTCAGATATGATAACTACCCCCTGATGTTGTGCATCCAGGTATTTTTCCTACCCCTTTTTATGGCCCTTTGTTGAAAAATCCTTTTCCTGACAACTTCTCCTGATCTACTCGGCCAATTTCAAAGTTTACAGATATGGTACATGTAACTTCCCCCTGATGTTGTGCATCCAAGTAGTACTTTTTCATTCCGACCCTTTTCTAAGGAGTTATATGCTCCTTTGTTGGAAAAAAACACTTTGTCTTTCTCCTAAATTTCTGGTCCGATTTCAATGATATTTTACAGATACCCCCTGATGTCGTGCATCAGGGCAGTTTTTGTTCATTTCGATCCTTTTTAAGGAGTTATGGACCCTTGTTAAAAATCTTTATCCTGACAACTCTTCCTTAACTACTAGGACGATTTCAGCAATAATGGTTCATCTGTACTAACCATATTTGGTTTGCAAGTATGTTTTGCCACTGGGAGAGAGTACAGAAAGTATGTCAATTACCTATATACTTAAATTAGTGTACAGCTCAGTGAATAAAGAAATCGTTACTGGTGGTAGAATATGGATTGCTTTGCAATGCTTTACCTTACTTAGCCTTAAGCTTACAGTTCTGGTTTATATAGGAGCGGGGTATTAGTTAGCCTTTAGCTTACAGTTTTAGTTTACGTGGGTGTGATAATATTCGTCGCTTTAGCAAAAAGTTGTCAGTGGAGTTGCTATTTAACTGGAAATACTACAGAATTTTTGGAATACTTTTTAGGTTTATACTTGAGTGTTGTGTCGTGATGCTTCATCCAAAGTAAAAAAAGAGATCTGCATTGATTAGGTTGCCTTACAAGCGTCAGCTGTAGGGAATTTCCCTTTAGCTCAGCGGTAGAGCATTGGGCTGGAGAGCCAATTAAGTGTCGCGGGTTCCAGCCGCAGCGACGACACTATATTTATCACCATTCCTCGTCCTATTATAATTATACATGTTAAAAAATTAACAAAAAGCGTTATACATGTTTAAAATGGTTACAAAGTAGAAAGTTCAAATGTACTATTAAATTCCGGATAACTTTTGGTTCTGTTATTATACACCCTACTTTCGGTTTGCTATAAAATATAGGTTACATGTAATAAAACATGCCACCAATTAAGTGACTTATGCAAATTGTGTTATCAATGTTTGATAAATAGAATGTTGTTTACCATGCAATCCACTTATATAACGTGTTACATCAAAGGATTGAATATTTGCATATTAACATTAGTTACCTAACGATAAACCATGAACTTCCTGTCTGTGCACTGCTCTGATTGGTCAACGAATTATACTGAACTCTGGTGAAGGAAAGGTATGAGATGATTTTTTAAATTATATAACACAGACCTTAAGATCCCTCACCTCTAATAATTTCTCACGTCTAATCTTGTAAAATCACTCTTTAGTTATCGAATGTTGAGACAGATGACAATTAGACGATTGTATGTAGGCTATGTCGGCCACGGAAGAACATGGTATAAAGTCTATCACATTGTTAGTCACGCACGAACTGTATAATGTTTCTGACAGTTAGAGTTTTATGTAAGATAAAGTTGTCGAAATTAATTGAGAATGCTACACATATAAAAGAAAATCAAGTTTGTACAAATAATAAATAACCTGACCTAGTAAAAATGTGCTTGGCCATTCATGTAAAGCAGAGACATATATATAAGCAGGTCCAGTACACTGCGATTGAGCTATATAGCTGTAAAGATTTATAGTAGCTCTATTGACCTATATGAAAAAGGTCTTTAGAGCTATTTTCATGTGACCTTTTTTTTTAAGGAAAACGAATCAAAGTCGCTTTTAAAAGAAGATTTTATCATTAGGTTGATAACAAAAGACATTAAATATTACATTTATGAAAAATGAAAATAAACATCTAAATGTATGCTTTTTCTAGTCAACATTACCATAAACCTTATTGTTTTATGCGACTTTGCTTTAATTTAATGAAAATTGAAATATTAGAAAATATAGCTCAATATACAATGTAGCTCAATACAGCTATAATTTATAGATGAATATAGCTATATAGGTCTTTAAAGCTCCATTGGCAGAGTGTACTATTAGTTACACGGATTTTAATTTTGGCAGGGTATACAGGATGGTATGACCCTAAAGGGTTTCGTATTTCCTGAGGCCGATCCCGTATACCCAGCCAAAAATCTGTGTAACAAATTTATTACCCCTTTGAGTCTTTTATAATAAAAACAAAGAAAAATAACAATAAAACATGCATTTTGTTAAACAGCGAAGCAGACGACGAATGCGAGTTGTCTCCTGTTGCCCGGCCGCAAGATACAAAGACACGTGACCCTTATACCCATTGTAAAATCACGTGATTCCACTGTATTACTGCTGAGAATCACGTGACATGACCGTATACCCCCTGAGATTTTCATATACCCCCTGAGATTTACGAATGTGGTTTGGTACACTGTAGTTTTTAACCAATCAGATTCTTAGATTTTTCTCAAAGGGGTAATAATGGACCTGATAAAGCCAGTATATAGGGGATATTCACGTATAACCAGACATCACGTATTACTGGACACTATTGGATAAAATTATGGCTCTCTGTGTAAAGAATTGATAAAACTTTGATTTTTTGTCAGACAAAGAATGAAAACCAATACATTTTACAAATTGATTTTTGGTCTTTTAAGTTTTATCCCAAAAATGTTTTCACACATTGAATCGATGATATAAAACTGTCAAGAGATCAAATCAGAAATGTCACGTGTGATACTCTTTCGACAAGCAGCACATTGCAAATGTTTCATCTGTACTTTATGTTCTCTTACATGTATCTATTTTACTTTCTATAACCACCTTATTACTAATCAAATGGTCCTCTTAAGTTAAGAATCACCAGAGCAGAATGAAACGGAGTGTGTGTTTGGGTGTTGGTGCTCTGCTCCTTGCACTCTACTTTTTCCACTTCGTGGTGACTGTCACATTGGACTCTGTTCTTGCCAAGTTATGGGCAGGTAAGCTTAATACACAGCTTATTACATCCCTGATGTAATAAGATATTTACATCCCTGATGTAATAAGATATTTACATCCATGATGTGAGGTATGATAAGGTAATTCAAACCCCTGGGATAAGATATTGAGCTTAATTCTTGGTTATTACCTAAAACCTCTATATAAAACAGAATCTCTCTAATTCTTGTAAAGTTGTAAACTGTCCACATATTTCTAATTTGCATATGAAGCCTGTTTGGCAATTGTTAAGGACATCAATGACCCTGACTGATCCCAAAACGTCAGATAGAATTTTCCAGCACCGCCGGGTATCTGGATATCTTGGTCTAGTATGCAACAATAACTATTCTTTCCTCACATATTGCTCATACATGTACTTGTAAAGCAGTTTTAAAGTAATGCTCAATGTTTGTTAATCTATAAGGCTAAAAAATGGCTTCAAAATGTTGTTATTTCTTCAAAAAACTGGGTAAGTGAGCTTAAAAGTATTGTAACAGGTAAGGAATTGGGGAAGGAAAATACTGCCTGAATTACTGGCCAGCTAGCTTTTCCGATGATGTGGTATATATGAACCTAGGACTTTCTAACTAATTCAGCAAATTCGAGCTTGGTCAGTAGCTAGATGGGTTCTCCTCTGCATGTTGTAAAACATTTGATGGCAGATTTGGAATCCTGTAATATCAAGTTATATATGTTATTTTGAATGACAGTCCTCCGTGGTTAGGGAAGGTGCATTGGTACAGTACACAATAGATTCCCAGACCAAACACCGTTACTGAGGAATTTAAGGAAAAAATACTGCCCTACTGGCCAGCTAGCTTTTCTAGTGATGTGGTATGACACTGGGACTTGCTGTATAGATCAACAAAGCCGAGCTTGGTTTGAGTAGCTGATTGTGTGCATTACCTCTTTACTTAAGAATAATTTGACTGCCAAGATTTTTTTATGATTAACCTAGCTATGGTCTGAGATCAGAACAAATTTGACACTGTGTATTGATAATAGTTTTTCATTTAATGTACTGGAAAAATGTCACAGTATAGTGTTCTTTATATCAATGATGCTTGTATAATTGGGGTCCATCTTTTGTACTTCATCAGTGATCATTATGCATATAATATACCTGTCTTTTAGCTTCAGTTGTTGGTGTATGCCTAGTGACAGGAACATTGGCTTTAGACTTCTATAGAAAGGACATTGATGACTCAAAGTTCTACACCATGAGGAGCAAGCTAGAACACTATGTTGCCAACATTGGCCTTGCTATGGTTGGCCGGTATCAACGGTGGAAATTGGATAAAGATACCAAAAGTATTGAAGCAGTACAAAATGAAATTCTTTTCCAAAGGCTGAGAAAAAATGCGGATACAGAATATGGGATCAAGTACAAATTTTCTGAGATAAAAACCAGGGAAGATTTTGTGAATATTCACCCTCTTACACGGATCAGCCATTATGAGGATTACATACAGAGAATGATGTCAGGAGAGGATAATATCTTGACGTCCTCGCCACCAATTGTCTTTGCTGTTACCTCAGGAACCTCAGGGAAAAGCAGTGTATTGCCTATGATTAAAGATCAAAGAGTATCATTTTTCTTGCATGGAGTATCTGTAGCATTGCATAGTATGATCAAAGCTTATCCAGGTACGAAATCACTTCAGAAAAGTCTCAAACTTTTCTACACTCCCAAATGGAGACAATCACCATCAGGGATACCTATTGGCCCCAATTCCTCTTCTCCGTCAAATTCCAAGTCAATGCTAAGCATATACTCCACCCCAATTGCCGGGTACGAAATTCTCAGTGAGCCTGAGGCATTGTATGTTCATTTGCTGTTTGCCTTAAAAGATCGCAATATTGGAATCATAGAGGCTAATTTCTCCTCCATTGTGTACAATTCGTTCCATGCCTTGGAGTGTCATTGGCAGAACCTCACAGATGACATTGAGAAAGGTCGCATTAGTGCATCCCTTAAAATCGATGATAAGATCAGATTTGAATTGGAGAAATTATTATCACCAGACCAGAAAAGAGCAGATGAGATCAGGGCATCCTTCAAAGATGGCCGCATTGGTTTGGTGAAAAGGTTATGGCCAAATTGTAACGTTGTGTTAGGGGCAGATACAGGTACATTTGCCCTCCAAGGAGACATGCTGAGGGAAACCTTTTGTAAAGGGGTCCCCCTCTACTCCCCTCTGTATGCAGCATCTGAAGGGCTTTTAGGGATCAACATCTGGCCCCATGAAAGACCTAGTCAGTACCTGTTGTCCCCACGTTCAATGTTCTTTGAATTCATTCCTGTGGAGAAAAGTGATGAAAATCAACCAGAGACTTATTTCATAGACCAGGTAAGACTTTAAAAGTTTCTAAATACATTTTGGATCATGATTTGAAAACACACAATTTTCTTTATATCATTATTGCTTGAAGTATTTGAGCGAACAGTTACACAGATTGTATTGTAGAATGTAAAAACCTATGTTGCATAAATATATAAGTAAAGTTTACTTAGGCCACAGTACAGATATATTTTATTGAATAAATGGAATGATAGAAGCAGTCTTTAACTGAATCTTTCAGAAATATGTTTGACATTAATTTGATGTTTCTATAGGTAGAGAAGGGACAGGAATACGAACTAGTCATCACTACAGCCTCTGGTCTGTTGAGATACAGATTTGGTGATGTTGTCAAAGTGGTGGACTTCTACAACCAGTGTCCCATCATTGAATTTATGTACAGGTGAGTACAGAGATCAACCAGTGTCCCATCATTGAGTTTATGTACAGGTGAGTACAGAGAAAAACCAGTGTCCCATCATTGAGTTTATGTACAGGTGAGTACAGAGAACAACCAGTGTCCCATCATTGAGTTTATGTACAGGTGAGTACAGAG